TGTATGTATGTTTCGGATATCCTCGTATAACGAAAGTTTTATTTAATTTAAAGACATTGCGCACTCGCTGACAAAATTTAATGGACAAAGAGAATAGTCACTACAATGTTCAGTTTTTACTGGTAAATTGAATTTCTAAATATAAGCGACATTTTCTAATAATATCGCAGGATAATTCTGTTATAAATGCGTCCAGAATATTATACGCGGTTTAGCAAATTACAAGCCGAAAATTATTTCAACGCAAAAATGTAGACGTAAATAGTCGATGGATCGGTTTGACGAGGAAACCGTAAATTTCCTTTAAGCGCTACAAGAAATTTTCCAGGAAACACACCGTCCGCCATTTGATCGATATAGTGTCGGTATAGGTGGAAAGTTTAATTTCCGCATAAAAATTTTAAAAGTCAAGTTAAACGGCGGTAGAAAACACACTTCCATCGTTTTCTTGGAGTGTTTTACTTCGTCGGCGGTTTTTTTTTTACGGCTCGCCTTGATTAAATCCGGAGCACCTGCTGTTATTTTTATTTTTAGTCGCCTCTCGTTAACGCGAGATGGTAGAAGATATTCTTTTAAAAAAATGAGGATTTGTTGCTATGAATCGAATAATACCGCATCTGCGACTGCACTGCTAAGGAATTTGGCGCCGTTCTGTCGATTCCGAACGACCAGACCAGACTACGAACCTTCCGATCGCCGTTGCCAAATTTAAACCAATTTTTAGCATCCCGTTACTCCGCATCATATTCCAAACTTTGCAATTTCGTTTTATGTCTTTATTAGATACGTTCGATTTTCATTCTCGAAGAAAAAAAGCAATCGAAAAAGGATCGAACCCGGTTTTATCAGTATCGTTTGCCATCAAAGCTCGGCCTCCCCGAATAAGTCCGGCACTTTGAACACATTGCGCAGCATGTGGCAACAATGTCCCACTAGGCCGCCAGTGTTGTGTATAGTCAGCATCAGATCCACTCTCTGGTTCGTCATAGCCGCATTTGCATTGTCCGTCGAGTCCCAGATATTTACAAATTTATCCGATCGCTGGGCTCCTGGCCTGTTACGTCATACATCAACCATCCGCAATCGTTTCAACTCGTGTGTGTGTAGCATGGGGGGGTTCTGCCTACCGGACGATATGGTTCAGTGATGTGTGGATTTTTAAATGGTATTGTGATTGCCGGGGCATTTTTAAGGACGGATCTTGTTTTAGTGCTTCCTCCGATCATTAATTTTATAAATCAAAATAATCCCAAAAAGTCGCAACGCGCTCTGATTAATTGACTCTGTGCCCGGTAAAAAGGAGTAGCTGAGCTTGATTTTTCACCGCGAACTCTGAATTTCAAACGGCCAGTGACGAAAAAGCTAATGAATGACGTCCGAGTTATATTTGCATATTAGCGCGTGCTGTGAAGGACCTTACTTTGCGGATATGAAATAACTGCTATTCGTTATTATCGACAATTTATGACGTTGACGATCATTAGAAAAGTGATTCAATATGTTTCTACGGACTGGCAGCGTGCAGTGAATCCAATCGTACGTCACGACAACTAGGTGGAACTGGAACTCAGAAACGTCGTGTGACTAGAATAAAGCTCAGGTAGCGTAAAGTTGAATGTCATATGTTGCTTATAACTTACTTACGTTTACGTCACTGCGGTTCTAATAAATAGGATGACTCTACGAATTATTCCGGTCATATTATGGGTTCCGTATTTTTTCAAATCCACTTTCTCTTCGCCGGGCTGTTATTTTATCCGTTACCACGGTCTGATAAACGCGGTTTACGAGTTTTAAAATTTTCTTCGCTTCGTCAGATCCAATCAAAGCCTCTTCTCCTTTTGTAACTAAAAAATATTTTATACGATTGGTGCGGACGGTCCCTTTTGCCTGACCGTTAGCCGTTTCATATTGTTAATTCCAATGCTATGTAGATACGTGCATATTTTTTTAATTTGAGTTCTAAATTTAAATTGCGATCATACTGCCAAGTTAATTTCATATGATTGTTGTAAGAGCATCATCTGGGACAATTTTCAAATAGTGTGTTTGTGTGTGTTTGGCCGTTTTTTCCGACGCCGTAAACAACAATTGGAAAGTTTCTAATTTAAAACAAACTGACAAAATTGATTATGAAAAAATGTCACGTACATTTACTTTGCGTTATAAGACCCGACCTGCATATTGAGCACTTATAGTTGGACATGTTTAGCGGGATAGTGGGATTAGTGCGGCTATAAGGGCAAATATTTGCATTGATACTGATTTCCTATTAATTATCAGATCGTTAAAATGCTTTGGTCTTATATTGCTGCATGTGAACACAATATTTTATTAATTAATAATTAACGTATGACCATAATTTAGTATTTTGTAGTGCAGTTAACCTAAGTAGGTAGGCTGGTCTTCGTTATTTTTAAGAATGGTCTTACTTTATTTTTTTATTGCGCTTTATGCATTTTTTGTTTAAGAACGAACAGTAAATCCGAGAAAACCTTTTCTGAGCTTTCCGATGCCTAACCAACAAATCGATATACTGATTTGTTAGCGAAAGGCTAAGGGCTAGGCTCGGGATTAGTTTTGGCAACTCACGTTTCTTAAATTGCGCTAGCGTCCATTAAATTTTCACACCCATAAAGTTGAAGTTGCGGAATTGGGCTTTTAATCGGTTACAATAAAAGGATCTGGTCAGTCGCGTTAGTTAAACCGTTCGTTTAATTTCGCAAAAATATTTACGCATTAGATTTTTGTTTAGGCGAATAAATAATACTATTAATTTTATTTTAAGAGTTCCACATTACGAACCGGCTACAAAATAACAATAAAATTGTTTAATTCCTCAATTCCGCCGGACCAAACATAAATATTACGCCGGTTTAGTTTGGCATTTGGTCAAATATCGGATAAACCGCCTTTGCGATTATTTTTTAAATAACTTTGGCGGTTGCCGTTTTACGGTGTCTATGTAATAATCGTTTCAATTTGTCACATCGCAAAAGGTTAAAGAGAAAGTAGGTTACCTGCAAGTACAAGCGAGTTCCCCTGATTCGTATGGGTCGATCGACGACCACATTTCTCATTTTGATCAGTATTGCATTTCGCGGAAAGTGCATTAAAATGATTTACTCGCAAATATACGTAATCTTTTTTGCCAAAGGAACTGTCCGCATTTTCTACCTGTTATTTGGTACAGGTATATTTCGCAGAAAATACGGAAAATATAAAGTGCCTTGTCTTGTTTGTCGATATTACCCTCTAAATTCTCTTTCCTTAAACGTAAAGGTAGAGGCTAGCAATCTTGAACTTCAAAAACATTTTTAATTCAAAGAAATGTAATTTCTATCATATTTTGTGACATCAAAGTACACTCGATTCCTCTGTGTAGATCCACACAGGACAGAGACGCACGTAGATTGGATTTATAAGAGCAACTGTAAAAAAGGCGAATGCAAATGAAGGCTGGAAACGAATATTAAATTGACGCCACTACAATAAAGTTTATCACAATTTTTGAATAAACAGCAGAATTGTCCATGCCGTAATATTTTTGACTATCAGCTTTTATTGTTTTATTGGGCATTTTTAAGTTATTATTAACGTCAGGGCAGTTTCTTCAAGATTGCATTTGACGTCCTTATAACCGAGATGTTGCTGCTATTCGCAACTTTCAATGTATTTGATCGTTTTTATACCCCGTATGTATTCGGTTAGTGCGTCAACCTAAGCCCTGGAAGTGCTTTTGTACGTGACATGTGATAATTCGTTATCTTTGTTAGATATAGTAGGTAGTAAATCTCTTTATAGGAATAACCATTTTCATTTAAATTCGTTTAAATGTTTACGTAAGCAAAATTTGACTATTGTAAAAACATCTTAAAACTTAATGACTGAGATGGCACAATAAAAGTTTTATGTTATTATATTATACTATTAAAGTTGCGCCTTTGAAAAATTTCAATTCATTTGTCGTGGTTCCGCGGAGGTGTGGTGTAGGTCTAAATACTTTTTGAAAATTCAATCTTCGATCGATATTTTTCAAAATACTACTAACACGGGGGGGAGGTGCCTGTTCTAAAGCTACAGGTATGCAAATATAGTGCTTAGAGAATTATTACTCATATCTTCCGCGCATTTAATAAACATTTGCGATAATAATTTAAATAATTCTGCGATGATGTCAGCGGTTTATATATAGTTGTTGTCTTACCGACCTGAGGAAAATTAACTAGTTAGTTGTTTTCAGTATTAAAAGGCCAATGGGTTTATGGCTTATCGAAAGAAGAACATTGACATAACCTGTATATACTTTCTGATGGGTTTTTAAATAAATCCGGTGTTTTTCGTGTGTGTATGTGTGTTATAAATAATTACAACGGTGATAATTGTTATTCCAGTGGTGACTAATTTCGTTTGATATTGTTTTACGCCAGACAACGGTACGCTTCCATTTTATTAAGTTACCATTTTATTGTAAACTGGTTTATTGTAAAAGAATCTGCATATTACAGGTATGCATGACTAAAATATTTAAAATCGGAGTAAACACCGGGTTCTGGTATTTTAGTTCCACCGTTTCAAAATAAACACTATAAAGCAGCATTTAAAATATTTCAAAAGTTCTCAGATGTTTTAGTAACATGAGTATTGAAAGGTTTAATGTTATATTTCATTTAAATTTATCGCTTGTTTATGTCCGCGAAGGAAGCTTAAATCTTAATCTGGACGTTTTTGCTTGAAAAAAATTTTTCGAGGCGCGACAAAGCCGCGAAATTTTATTGCATCCCCGTTGTAAGATTAAATTTAACGAGAGAGGATTTCGTGATAAATTCGATGTATGACGTTCGAATAACGTCATTAATTTTACTACAATACATACGAATTACGTTAATAAACACTTAAGATTAAAACCAGACGTCAATCGGGTTTAACGTTGATAAAAAAAATGAAAGCGCTCCCAGCCAAGATCGTACCGTAACTACAGATTTTCTATTCCATTTCAGAACTGCAGTAAGAAATGGCTACGATAGACGGCCGTCCCGCACAATATGGAATATCCTTAAAACAACTCCGCGACCTCATGGAACATCGAGGTCGCGAAGGAATCCAAAAAGTACAAGATTTAGGTGGGGTTCAAGAAATTTGTAAGAAACTATACACATCCCCTAATGAAGGTAACGTTTGTACGATTAATTCACAGTCATTCGTTAATACGTGCCGAATATTTTGTTTTTAGGTCTTAGTGGCTCACAAGTAGATTTAGAACATAGAAGGGAAACATTTGGTTCAAACTCAATTCCCCCAAAACCACCAAAAACATTTTTACAATTAGTATGGGAAGCTTTACAAGATATAACTTTAATTATTTTAGAAGTAGCGGCCATAGTTTCTTTGGGACTTTCGTTCTATCAACCACCGTCTGAAGAAGAGGGTGAGGTTTAATATTTGTCGTTCTGCCTTGATTTGAAATCTAGCATTTATAATAGTTGACCTGGGAAAATGCTACATTATCAAATGCGATCATTTTTGTCGAGGCTGTTGTTTAATTTTTGTAATTTAATTTTACACCTTCCAGAAACTGGATTCGATGATGATGAAACTAGTCACGGGTGGATTGAAGGGCTTGCCATTTTAATTTCGGTTATAGTAGTAGTATTAGTGACAGCGTTTAATGATTATACTAAAGAAAGACAATTTCGTGGTCTTCAAAGTCGGATAGAAGGCGAACATAAGTTTTCAGTTATTAGGGCAGGAGAAGTTAAACAAATTTCCGTCAGTGACATAGTCGTAGGGGATATTTGTCAAATTAAATATGGTGATTTACTACCCGCTGATGGTATCCTAATCCAATCCAATGATTTAAAGGTAACGGACGTGATACTGACTAATATATGATTAAAGAGATTCAATTATTGGTTTTTGACTTAAGGTTGACGAATCTTCGTTGACCGGCGAATCAGACCACGTGAAAAAAGGTGAACATTTTGATCCGATGGTTCTTTCCGGCACGCACGTGATGGAGGGGTCTGGAAAAATGTTGGTTACAGCAGTGGGTGTTAATTCACAAGCAGGTATTATATTTACGCTACTTGGAGCAGCAGTCGATCAACAAGAGCAGGAAATTAAGAAAATGAAGAAAGGTATGTCAATTCTCACTCCATGCGCATGTTTTTCGTACTGTTTGAAGTTCGTGGCCCCCCTAAAACCCATCTGTAGGGATCTTTTATCATTCAAGATGCTTACAGATGAAGCATTCAACATCTAAGTGTATCACTGTTAGTTGCACATCTATCTAAATGTCTGTAACAAAACCGAAATAGAGTGACTGCCATGATATTTACCATTTTACTCCTTGGGTACATGTGTATTTTTCAATGACCAAATGAAATATTTATCGATGGAAAACTGGTTCCCGTGTATGGCAGAATAATTTACATCTGATCGTTTTTGGATTATATAAGTTTTTAGATGTAAAAATACACATGTATGTGTATTTTTAGTATATGATTTTTTATATATAGTGTTGGCTAACAGCCACTTTACAGTTTATGGCGCAGGAATCTTCAAGGTTTAAATAATTGCAAATGTAATAATTGATTTTACATATCGCTTCAATGTTTTCAATTTAATTTCATCTCTCTTATATTTAGCAATTCATGTTTATCACAGTTGTTTTTATTATTATTATTATTTGTTTATTTAATTTAAAGCGGGGGAAGAATCCTAGCAAAATTCGTGCCATAAATTGGTTATAATTTTATTTTACATTTTACCCATGTCAGGACTTTGGGAGTGTTTTTGAGATTGCTAATGTTCTCCTTTTGCATGTGTTTTTGTACAGAAGCTAAAAAGCAACGGAAGAAGAAAAGTCTAACAGGTGAATAATTTTTTTTACTATTTATTATAAACAAAATGCAGTAAATATTTTATATGTAAATAACTAATATCAATTTAAACTTCAGTCTAATATTTTGCATGCCAATGTTCTTCTTTTTTCAGTGTTCTATGAACCATTTGCTAGTTTTTTGGTGCGTTTCGCAGTTCTCAGGGAAACCCTAGATTATTTCCGTTTTTTCGTTAGAAAATCATTTTATTAAAAAAAAGATGTTGTTTCGTTAACAATTTTCATTTTTCATTTTTTTTTCTCTTCATGCTTTTATTATTTATAGAGATAATAAAATAATAAAATTGCGATATCTTTTCTTCGAATTGGAAGTATTTACTCCAATGTGGATGATCTGAATTTTAGGTTTTATCCCATCTTCGATAATTTAACGCACCAAAAAACTAATATTTACTACTTAATATACACATATATTTTTTAATTCCACGAATATCGTTTGCTTTATGTACTTTGGTAAAGTTTAAATTGGGAGCCGCCGAAAATTCTCGACTTTGTCGAGGACGTGTGCGGCTTTCCAATATAAAATGCCTATAAAATATATATTTTCTATATAACCCGTATAGGCGATGAAGAAAATGTGACTGGAAACAGTCATATGAATTCACCTGCTCCCGTGGCTAACAAACACGAGGTTCAAGATGGCGGTAAGGAGAATCACGTCAGTTCAGCACCGCCGCCCGAATCAAGCCATAAAAAGGAAAAATCAGTTCTGCAAGCCAAACTTACCAAATTGGCGATTCAGATCGGTTACGCTGGCTCCACGATCGCCGTGTTAACGGTTGTCATTTTAATCATTCAGTTTTGTGTCCAAAAATTCGCTATCCAAGGGGAAGCCTGGCGAAATTCGTATGCCAATCAGTTAGTCCGACATCTGATTATTGGTGTTACTGTACTTGTAGTAGCTGTGCCTGAAGGTTTACCATTGGCTGTAACTCTATCCTTAGCTTATAGTGTTAAGGTAATCTTCGCGCGACCACCTGTGCCCGATTGAAAACCAAATTAACTCTCCGTTTTAAATTATAGAAAATGATGAAAGATAACAATTTAGTAAGACATCTCGACGCCTGCGAAACAATGGGCAACGCTACCGCCATATGTTCAGATAAAACCGGTACTTTAACCACTAATCGCATGACCGTGGTACAGTCTTATATTTGCGAGCAACTTTGCAAAACAATACCGAAGTTTTCCGATATCCCTGCACAGGTTGGCAATCTGATTTTACAGGGTATTGCCGTTAATTGCGCTTATACGTCACGTATTATGGTAAGACAACGCTTGAAATTTTACTAGTTTTCCCTTTAACATTGTTTTATAGCCTTCCGACGATCCCAGCGAACTGGCGAAACAAGTTGGCAACAAAACCGAATGTGCACTCTTAGGATTTACTATTGCGTTGGGTAAAAACTACCAGCATATCCGCGACGACTTCCCGGAAGAATCGTTCACGAGGGTTTATACGTTTAATTCGGTCCGAAAATCAATGAGTACAGTAATACCGCGATCAGGAGGCGGCTATAGATTATTCACTAAAGGTGCTTCTGAAATTATTTTAAACAAGTAAGTAACAATTATGTCTTGTCGCGCAGAACACGATAAAACATTTTGCACCCCCCCACTTATGCTTTTCGAACTCAAACCTCATCAGGAAAATTGTCTTCCCTGCTTTACTGGCTTTTTTAAATAATTTCAACAATTTCAACCAGAGCAATCCACGGAAATTGCATATCGATAGATTTCTGTCGGCTTATCTAAACGAGAGGATCCAACTTCTTCCACATCCCCAAAGAATAAGAGATAGCTTCCATAGTTCCTCGTTGTAGAGTTCCAGAGAAAAATTTAGAATAGTCTTATCAATCAACCTACCAAAATTAATAAAATCGAAATTACTTACAGCATAAAACTTTTAAATTATTTTTTTGTTCTTTGTAAAATGTTTAAACAATTTTATCGTGCGGTTTTGGTCTCTTTTTTCCATTTGAGTCATATTATATGCAATAACAAATTCGATAATATATCTTCAAAATATTCACTTTTTCCAATCTGCATTTTTCTGTTTTATATTTCGTATAAAACGAAGTTTATTGCTGCCATTGCGGAACTACATATGATTAGTTTAGAATGATTATATAGGGTCTTCTCGCAAAGACCATGTTTGTAACGGCTGCTATATTTACTTACTATGCAATTGGTATTGAAAAAAAAATGTATTTTTGTTCAAAAATCAAGTCAATTATTATTATTTAATTTAAAAAATTAAAATCTTTAAAAAAAGTGTAAAGGTGTTACTAAATTTAATTATCCTGATTATTTTTATTATTCTTCCTGATGAGGTTTAGGTTTACATAGAGTTACTTGAAACAGAATACAATTTATTAAAATTGTACGAATTAATTTTTTTTCGTGTATGTGAAGACAAAATCTACGTTGAGAAAAATTCTTAGAAATACAGTACAATACAAACGAAAAGCGCTTAGGTTGGTCGTGACGTGATATGTTTATTGGCCAATTTTATGCCGTGACTGGCATCGGGCTTCGCTTATCCAATAGAAATCTTTTGAAATGTTTTGCTGACACATAATTCATGTTTAAATGTCATAAAATGCCGGTTATAGGTGGCATTTTCCTTAAAAAACTTGGGCGTAGGTGTCAGGATAAATTAATGAATTTTATTATTAATTATTATTATACGTATCGCTTAGTGTAGAGTCAGCATTTTTGAAACATAATTTTATTATCGTATTAATATTAATACTGTTGATGCTGGATGAAGTCTAAGAGTTTGTCATGTTGTTGCGATGCGTTGTGGTGCACCAATTTGGATAGTAAGCGTGATATTGCAGGTGTGCCTTCATTTATGGTCACGATGGCCGATTGGAGAAATTTACCAGAGATATGCAGGAACGTCTACTGAAACAAGTGATCGAACCGATGGCTTGCGACGGCCTCAGAACAATATGCGTTGCGTACAAGGACTTCACCACTGGCAAAGCGGAAATCAATCAAGTGCATGTCGACAACATGCCTAACTGGGACGACGAAGAAAACATCGTCAGCAATTTGACCTGCCTCGCGGTTGTCGGCATTGAAGATCCGGTGAGGCCGGAAGTGCCCGAGGCTATCAGAAAATGTCAGAAAGCCGGCATCACCGTGAGAATGGTGACCGGTGATAACGTGAACACGGCCAGATCGATAGCTACGAAATGTGGCATCGTGAAACCCAATGAAGACTTCCTCATTTTAGAAGGGAAAGAATTTAACAGAAGGATTCGGGACAGCACGGGAGAGGTGCAACAACATCTGCTAGATAAAGTATGGCCTAAATTGCGAGTATTGGCTCGTTCGTCACCTACGGATAAGTACATCTTGGTGAAAGGGATAATTGACAGCGCCGCTAGCGAAAATCGAGAAGTGGTAGCCGTTACCGGCGATGGTACCAACGACGGTCCCGCTTTGAAGAAAGCCGACGTTGGATTTGCTATGGTAAACACAGCTGATTTCTCAGCAATTTTGGTCAACGCTGAGGCGCTTGTTTTTCTTCCAGGGAATTGCCGGAACCGACGTCGCTAAAGAAGCGTCCGACATCATTCTGACGGATGATAATTTTAGTAGCATCGTCAAAGCGGTGATGTGGGGTAGAAACGTCTACGACAGTATAGCGAAGTTTTTGCAATTCCAGCTTACTGTCAACGTGGTGGCCGTTATTGTGGCGTTTATTGGTGCTTGCGCTGTCCAGGACAGTCCGCTCAAGGTAATGGACTATAGGATTATTATTTCATTCATCAAACTCCCGCGAGGTGATTTTATCGTTGAAATTTTCCGAAATATCGCGTTTGATCGCGCGTCCATTTGGTAATTGAAAACCTCTGGCAAAATTGTTGCCAACAGGTAAAATTTTTGAAAATCCCTTACTTCCGTTAATGTAATTAAAATGGACGCTGTCGCGCCGATTGCGCTTTTAAGGCTTTAATGTCGTATGCATTTTCACAGTTGGAATGATTGATTTAAATGATGGCGCACACGAAAATAATTTAGTTAATTAATTCAGGCTGTGCAAATGTTATGGGTGAACTTGATTATGGATACGTTGGCTTCCCTGGCGTTGGCTACCGAACTGCCGACTAGCGATTTGTTACTTAGAAAACCGTACGGAAGAACCAAGCCTCTTATATCTAGGACTATGATGAAAAACATCCTCGGCCAAGCTGTATATCAGTTGTTTATAATCTTCGGTTTACTGTTCTGGGGTAAGGCTCGGAGGAGGGCGTGGTTTTCCGTTTTTGATAATAATTTTAATAAATTTTCAAGGACATCTGATGCTGGATATCGAATCGGGTAAACAGACCGAACTGTTTGTGGGGCCATCTCAACACTACACAGTTATTTTTAACTCTTTCGTAATGATGACCTTATTTAACGAATTCAACGCGAGGAAAATCCACGGACAAAGAAACGTCTTCGAAGGGATTTTCACTAACCCTATATTCTACACCATATGGATCGGCACGTGCGCTTCCCAAGTATGCACCTACCTCGTTTCGTTTACAGGGTTCCTTACGCGTCATTTTTTTCCCTCAAAGGTGTTGATCGTTCAGTATGGTAAAATGGCGTTTTCTACTAAAGCCCTTACATTGGAACAATGGCTTTGGTGTCTTTTCTTCGGCGTTGGAACTCTACTTTGGGGGCAAGTGATCACCACTATTCCGACAAGAAAACTTCCCAAGATATTGTCGTAAGTTTTTTTTTTTTGCAAACCGACGGAACCCCCCCACCCACGCCGCATTTTTGAGTTTAATCGATGCATTTTTTTTTCCTATTCAAAGATGGGGTCGCGGCCATCCGGAAGAATATACCGAAGCGATCGCCATCGGCGAAGAGAAATTCGACGTGGATTCGGACAAAAAGCCGCGCGCGGGTCAGATACTTTGGATCCGTGGTCTTACTAGGTTGCAAACTCAGGTAAGTCCCCTAATAGGTAGAAACGTTGGGTAAACTGTAAAAAGCGGTGTTTATACCGAGGCCGACGTTGGCTAGATTTAAGCCAGCTCAAAACAACCTCCGGCCTATAATAGTGTAATGATATGAAATGTGTGACTGATTTTTGAAACAGAGCTCAGTTAATCAAAAGTTTGGATAGGCAAAATGATGTATACCAAACTCAGTTAAGGTCCTCCCATCTGTCTCATCCTTGTTTTCCTTTACCGTTTCTCTCTTTTAGTCTTATTTGACCGGCATGACGCTGCTTCGACAGTTGATAATGTTTGTCGCAAAAAATCCGTAACTCAATAATTTTGGGTGGTCAACTTCACAACGGGTCTTGCTTTAAAGGGTTTTGATATATGTATGTGTGTCCTGTCTTGGCAAAAGTGAAATATTTCGTTGTCCACCCAAGAAATAACTGTCCGCTTTTAGATGTCGATGTGTGTTTTTTTTTCGTAGCGTTACTTTTTTTTTTTTTTCAAATGTTTGTGCGTTGCAGGTGCAATCGGATAATTTGATCGGTAGCAACTAATTTAACGCGTAACGTTTAATTAATATATTTTTTTAGTAGGCCAGCAGTGGATCAACTCCCGTCTCCCCCTTGCAGGTTTTTTTTTTATTAGTTTTTGAGAGAACTGGTGATATTTTGAATTTATTCGTGACGCTTGTTCTATTTCGCTCTTGATTTCCCAATCCCCGTCCACTTCTTTCTATCTGTTTTATTTACTCGACTCTTTGTTACTAACCGTTTTCGATATTATTGAGTGGCCCATGATATGGCTTCATCCTAGTAAAAGCACATTGGTGGGACACTTATTATGCATGTGTAGTGTAGCGTTTGAGTTTATACGGTGTTATAACGACACACGTGGAAAATCAAATGTCGTTCAAATAGGTTAGCTTAATATATGTGCATGTTTGGAAGAACACGTTAAGTATCATTCATTGAGTTAAGGCCGTTATTTAAACTATGGCTGTGTTGTCTGAGGTTGCACTTTTATTACACCAGTCTGACCGATGATCGTATCTGGCCTGTTTGTCTGTCTTTCACTCTTTTAAGTCGTATTTTAATTTTTGCCACCATTTTATAATCTCTCACACTTCCCTTATCAACTTTGTGATATTCCATGGTGGTGTTGTATAGGTAGTAAAAAAAAGTATAGGTATAACAGGATCTAAATGCTATCTTGCGGGATAGCCTTTCAAAAGTCAGTGTTCGATGGTTAAATGAGAATGATAATTGACTGACGAAAAAAAAAAAAAATCGGGATGAGACGAGAATCGATACGCGTAGAAAATAATATGGATAGTCTAGAGAGTTGGGCGATCGATGCGATTGTCTGACTTTGGAAAGACTATGTCCAAGTACTTACGGAAATGTTTATATCTATATAATAGCATCGATGGGTCGATTAGAGCAACACGTCAAACCCTTTTTTGGAAAAATAATAAGACTTTATCGTTTGCTAGCCAGCGGAACCGATGAAAGAAACTGAGGTATAGGGAACCGTTGGGTGCCTCAAGCAAATTCAGCCACGCAATACAAGTATGTAGTTTGTAGTAGGCCTTCATTAGATGAGATGCGATGCCCATTACTCTGCTGTGTTTGCACTATATATCATGTTTAGATGTCCTAGAGCAAACCCTTCTGAATGTGTCTTGTCGCCCCTCCCCTGTACCTCGATAGATGATTTAGACAAAGCAATAACCACTGTCGTTTTCATACCGTAAGTGTCAATCCTCAGCGTGCGGCCGACAACACAGCCAATAAGTAAAGAAGCGTCTCTTTCATATTGTGCCAAAGTGTGAGAAATGATAGTTTGAAGCTTAGCAGCGCTCCTCGACGCTTAACCATTGTGTATATCTCTTCAAATGGTACGAGTTGTGGCTACGTGATCGGTATTAGAATCTTTCTAAAAGTATGTTAGAGTAATTGTCCCCCCGCCTTGTTTCTATACTCTCTCTATCTTCTCGTCTCTCTCTTTCTATTTGTTTCCGCTCACTTTCACAAGTTCTTGAGACTGTATTATGGGAACTTATTCACGAATTAACCAAGAATGTCTAAAACACACAAACATACCATTACTACTAATAACACAAATAGGAAGCGAGTGTTATAGAAAAGTAAACACAGTGATTTGAAGCGTTTTTCTGTGTTTATTTTTTTCTCTTGTTCTCTATTAATCCGTCGAGGTGTATAAATATCACCACCGGCTTCCAAAGCTATTCAGTGTTTTTCGGATGGGGACGAATTAGGTGACGATCTTTCTGGTCCGCTTATTGAGACGGAAACAATCATTGTCGTTTGGATGATACGTCAATCAATAAGCGTGCATCATTTGTCGAGCAACCATTTGGCGTATTTGGTTTTGAAAGTTTAATCGTTGAGGGGGTATGAATTTGAACGGTTCATCCCAGCTTAACCGAAGCGATGCTCCGCCAGATGGAAGATTGGATAACGGGAACCGTTTGAGGTTTAAAAAGCGAGACACGGACGTGCGCGCGTGCGTGGTAGGTGTATGCGGGTGCGTGAGAGTGCGTCTGCGTGGGTGCACGGTCGGTGGTCGAATGCGAGCATGCAACTCCCGGCCCGCCTGATGAGTACCCTGCTTCCCTGTGTTTGCAGCTGCGAGTAATCAGAGCTTTCAAGTCCACCCTGGAGGACCTGGAGGAACGGCGCTCGGTACATAGTTTACACAGCTTACACAGTTTGCGCAGCTCGCGCAGCCATACCGGTCCGTGGCCGCCGCGGCCCCTCTCAGACATCACTTACATTGACGAGGATCCGGCCAACCCGTCGCGGCTTCCGCTGCCGAATCAAAAGGAGGACCACAGGCTCTCACCCTCTCCTAATACCCTCCGATTACCCCCCCATCATCCGCAATTCGCTCACCACGCGCCTCCCGCAAATAACTCGGACTTGCCTAAACCCGTGCATGAAACTCGCATCTAGTGTTGCCGGTCCTGGCCGATGCGGCGCCACCGGAAGGCCCCCCATTTGAGCGGGGCTCTCCGTTGTCATTCGTATGACGTCGCCACGGTCCGGACCCCACCGTCTTCGCTGGACTAGTGTGTGTTTTTTTTTTGTTTTGTTAGCGTTCCCCCTTCCATCCAAAATTGTAACGCCCCCGACCTAGATTCCCGTCTCCGTTAAGGCCTAGTCAAAGTGCCACTGCCACACATTCGAAACGTACGGGGTGTCTCGTTTTATTTCCGCTTCTAAGCGCCCCCGAAATGCAGGTCGAAAAGCCTCTCGCTATTTAAATCACGTGCTGCGTAAAAACCCACCCTCGTAAATTTTGACCAAAAATTATACAGAGGGTGCGCGACTGAACTGCGCGTTGGAATTGCCTCAAAATAATTAAAGAAAAGAAAGAGAAAATTAATTTGATAAAATAAATATGCATATTCGCCCAGTTTTTACAAACAAGTCATATAGGTGATATACTTTTTTGAACATTTCTGGTTGAAATGTTGCTGTTTTGACAGAAGTTCAAGGCATATTTAAAATTTTAAGCTCTAGATCTGTATTTTGGAAGGGCAATAGGGGTCGAGAAGAACAAACTAATCGATTATCATCAATCAAAATTTTGCATTACGCACAAATAAAAGTACCCTGTGTGATGCGTTTCGTTCTATCATTATTCTGTCTAGAACAGAACAAGTTGACTCGCTACATCTCGAAAAGGAATTTAATCTAGTAAATCGTTGTGTCGGCTTTGTTTCGTTTTCGGGGCAACATGTGGTATTTTAACTAGACTTAAAATTGTTAGCTTAGCACTAAGTAGAAATAAAGTTGACCGAACTCATTACATTTGTATTATTTTGTATATAATATTTCGTCTTTTATGTAGACTAGCTGTATGTATAGCATTTTAGAGTTAGTTCTCTCAGGTTAGTGGCAATGGAAATAAACAATTTTATTTTTGAACTTGTGTAGCGCATGCACACTATTTGCGAGTCAACTGTATTGTGAGTCAAAATGGCGAACGACTTAAACAAAAAGTATACATGAAAAAAAAAAAATACCCGTTAAAAACAATCCACAATCAGTACCAAGAAACACACTTGATTTTTACTAGTGGGAAATTTCTGCAATTATGTGCTGCGCTTGGCTGTGGGTCAGCAGGCTACGTTTACTTAATTTTTCCAATGTTTTAGACATACGTATATATATATATATATATATATATATATATATATATATATATATATATATATATATATATATATATAGGGTCTCTAAACGTACAACACTCCCTTCCACCTTAATTTTGGCATACTTAATAACCGCTCGTTTGTCGCAACTTTTTTTCTTCCTTCAGATTTGTAAGCAAATTGAAAATTTATGAAGCGGTTTGGATTTTTGACGTTCAATATATGAATCTAGAAAACTGGGTATCTGCATGGGAGAAAAAATGGCGACGGTTGTCCAAACGGGAGGTCACTAAGTACGCGAACCTCATATGTTTCCTATACGTAATTATTTCGTTATCACATGTATTTACACGCTCCTGCACCTCGTGTGTGTGTATATATACACAAGAACAGCAATTTTCGTAACTTTTCGAGACTTAAATATCAAAGGAGTGACTTTTAGGTTGTTTAGGTTTTATTTTTTTTTTATTTGGGATTTCCGTTTACCTTGTGTATATGTATACGCTAAAGTCATGCTCTGTTATCAATATTCGGCACTGAGCCAGGTGAGATACACACGTTTGAGCCATCGTGTGTCTGTTTATGAACACATACGAACACGTGTAAGCATACCCGGAGTAGCCTCCACGTTTTCCTTTTATGAAAAAAATCAGCGACACAGTAAAATATTTTGAATATTGGATCAATTAATTACCCGTCTACGTAGATAATGCTGCGGATGTTTTCTTCTTTATAACATCTTTACCATTGACTAGAGCGGTATAGCAACGTCATCGCCATTTCCGCGCTAAGAGAGCTACCGTATAGTGTCGTCTTATTCGAGGAATCTGCATTTTCGTGCCGTTGTGTTGTGTCTATTCCGCTTATGGTTATTATTAGGCGTCTTAGTACATCCGAAGTTGTCAAAAAAAAAAAAAAAAAACAAAAATTTGTTAAGTCAAGGTAAAGGCGGAATAAAGTATTGAACCGCCAGATAATTTGGAAACGAGCGCTGTATTTTTTTGTTTTTTACTTCTTTCAGGTTTATTAGTAGCGTCTATTATTCTGTGCACTTATCTTTATTGTTTTGTGTCTACCACTGTCTGTCGAACCACTCTTTAACGTTGACCTTTACTCTTGAAGGTGATAGGTGGTGAATTGCAAGAACGTTTGATTCCGGTTCCGTACAGCAAGAGCTCAACTGACCAAGCTGTAAGCCGCTTTCCTACATCTTTTCTGTCCGCTGTGTATTCGTATGCGCTGTTCGCTCTTGTTTGTATTTTATTTTTTTGCGCGCAGCCAGCTCGAACTGCTTCCAAATTGCAACGCAAAGGCACCGGAAAATTTCGAACGATCGTCTCTTTAAATATTCTTCCCGCGTTATGCGCCGCACGTGACCTTTGCCAATGTCGAAGCAGGGAGACGAATTTCCTTTTGGTTCGGTTTAGTAGTTGTATTTTTTTCTTTTATTTTCCCTTGATTTCTTAACAGTTTTATTTGTTTGGCATGTTGCATGTTTAATTTGAGTTTCGTTTCGGGTCTAACACATAGTTCACAGATGCATAAGATCGCTCAAAACGGTTGTTAGCTCGGCCGAATTGTTTTCGATAAAATTTTAGCCAGGCAAAATTATTTTTGTTTAGTTACGCGTGTCGGGTTCGAATTACCCCCTTCGTTTCCCCCCCCGCCCAGCTTTTCATCGGATATTTACTAGGTAGGATACTGATTTTGTTCACGACGTCAATTCAGAATACACAATTTTTATATTTTTAACTGTTGAATCGTTTTACTGTATATAGGAAACTGTTAGAATAACTTACAATAAATAAAACATGTTGAATTGTTCGATGAAGTTATGTAGTTTTTTGATAATAAAATAAACTGTGACAAAGTATCGAAAGTTTCCGCTTGCCTGGTACTTTAAATGAGAACTTATTTTTCTCGAATCATAATATAATAATCTGATAATTATGTCTCGGAATATTTTATCGTTTAGCGCCTGATGCTTAATAGATATTTAACGGCCTCGTTGCACATAGTAATAGTGTTGTTTGTTTAAATTACTGTAGAGGCTTTTATTTATTTGTACTACAAGAGTTTTTATAATAACAAGTTGTTTTGGTACCTAATGTATAATTTTTGGAATTATATTTTATTTGGGTGTATTCGCCACGGATACACGCGGTTCTAATTAATATTCGTTAAAGTGTACTTAGTTTTCGTTTTAACACAGTTGCGATATAATATAATTTTTTTTCTAAATAAAATTTGTAAACATGTCAGCAAAATTTTATTTTCTCTAAATTGCCAAATTCTGCGGCGTTTATATTTTTTGTGTGTATTTGTTAATAATTGTTTTCCAAGTTTTTTGTGTGTTTTACTAATGCCCACATATATACATACATACAGGTGGGGCAAAGTCAAGTAAGCAATCTAAGCAATATCTGGTAAAAACTGTATGTATTTGAACATTGTTATTCGTGTGTGTTTTAAGTGGTGCTCAGACAATTTAAATTGTGTTATTTGTGGAAATTTGCAAGTTCAATGTGTTTTTTTATTCTGATATCACTCGGTATGACAAGATCTGACTGCTTGCTACTCAAAACAAGGGCTGCCCAAAGTGTACTTACTACGTAGCGCCCGTCTTAATATCGCTGTCTTGTTTCCTTTTTTGCGACCGGACAGCGCCGTTAACATTAATCAACTTAAAATATTTCTCCCGTCCTGAATATTTTTCATGTAAGGAAATAAATACAGTGTCGCTTTTTGCCCACTGCACACCCACCCCCGCACGCTTTTCCAGCGTGGTCCAAGCGCACACCCCTCTTCCCCTAACTTTATGTGTCGCAATTTCACCCATTTCGATGTCATCGACACACGGTACACAAATGCTTGAAAAAGTGAGACAAAGTATTTGTTATCCTGCCATTCTAATCCAACCTAGCCTGCAAATAACTGGACTAATCCAGCGGTTAGTTTCCACCATACAACTTCCTGTTGTATACAGCTTTGTGTATATGCCTTCGAGATGTCCGATTCAGTTTATGGCATGATGGCTCACACAATATACAGTGATCACTGTAACTTATATAACCGGCTATTTTCACATGTATGTATGCGAGCAAGCCACAGCTAGTGGTGTGGAATGTATATACGGAGTTTGCATGTTTGTTAGATGTAACTTAAAAGTCAGTCGAGACGAGATGATTATTGTCGCTTCATGTAAATTTGTAACGCAATCAACGGTCTCGATTGAAACGTAGAATTTTGGCTCCACGAATGGATTCCTCCAGTATATTTAATTTCACACTTTTCGACCTAACCATCGCCCCGTGCCTTGTACATAAACGACTCGAATACTAGTGTGGAAACAGATTACACGAGAATTGTTGATGAGAACGGGGGAGCAGTAGTAAGGACGGTGTGTGGTAGTTAGTCACCTCTGCACTGTGTATCCATAATCCGTTTCCGAATAATCTTTTTCCATGCGTGTATTTTATACAAACCATACACTCAGATCTCGTATCATACTAAGTAAAAATTCGCGCTAATACGTCTGAAGCACACTTTACTCCCGACCGGTCTTCAAAGATTCTAAAACTATACGCTTGGTAAGTATTGTTTATTTATTGAGACGTTCTCTTAGAGTTGATCGTTGTCAGTGTCGACTAAAACAAAAATTCTTAGGTATCCTTTAACGTATATGTGTGTAACTATAGTTTTGAGTAGACTTGACACGATAGTGGGCATCGAGTAGTGGCTACATAAAATGGCAACTCGTCGACTGCATAACCTCGGCGCGAATTCGAACAAATCGCAACTGATGTTAACTGACCGCATTCGATTTTATTTTTCGTATTTTTGTTTTTGCCTTTTTTTGAAATGCACCCCATCGGTTTATGGCTAACTGTTTAGCATTTTGTAGAAGTTGATGTTGACGAGGTTGTGCTGTTTATTCGGCGGTTTGCTTCGAGCTTGCGTTTTGCGTCCAGTTGTACGGCGCGTCTAAATACCGACCGGATCCGCATTTAGACGCGCCCGAAATATACTTAAGAATTTTTCTTCAATGTCTAATACGGCGTTCTACATCCTGGAGAAACCAGTCTTGGGGCTTTACTAAACTTATTACAATGCACGACTTTAACCGAATAACAGAATGTGCTAACCGCTCTCCATTAATCTAACCACTTGGAATGGTCTCATTTTAATTCCGATCGTTTCGGTGTTTTTTGCTAATTTCAGATCCGAGTAGTTAATGCTTTTCGACAGGGCCTAGACGCTCGATACGGCGAGCACAGCAATGCTTCCTTAGCCGAGGTGCTCCGTAAACAAACTTCCCTCTCGAAGAGGCTTTCGCAGGCTTCCTCAATTGAATACGCGGACAACATACCCGACGAGTTGACCATACCGGAGATCGATGTAGAACGATTGTCGTCACATAGCCATACGGAAACGGCGGTTTAGCCGTATAGTGCCCCGCGCAGTAGCTCCACATGTACCTAACACCAACCGTTCGACGTCCATTTTGCGCCTGTGCCGGCCGCACCGATTCCGACTCTGACCAGTACCCGCTGTTCCTTATTGACCACGGGGATACACAACTACGCGTAGGTCGGAACTGTTTCCACGGCGTCGGCTTCGAAACGGGCACGGGTCGTCAATTCTGCGCGTGCCGGTTCGAACATGTGCGGCGCGCGCGTCATTTTGTCAAAACAAAACAAAAAAAAATTAAACAAAATTAAAAAACAACAAAACAAGGGACAGATTAGCAATAAAATGAGTGAATGCGGGTTCGCTCATAGCATTAGGTGCCTATGCGAGACGGGGATGCGCCGAATCGCGTTCCTCCAGCTCCGCCACAGCCTCGCCTTTTCGCGGGAACTCATTTTTACTGAACCGAACCGATGCATATTTGGTCGTCCTCGTCTGATCCGGCGCTAAACTCTTATCGGCGCCTGCCCGTATCCATCGAGACGCCGAAAAGACAAGTCGCCACTATTTTAGTAAATCTGCCAAACGATTGGAGGGAGGCGGTAAACGCTTAGACCGTAACGTCTTCTTCGACCTTTCTTCGGATCCGTTTTTCTATCGACGCCTCGTGTATTATATAATTTGTAAAATATCTACGAACCTAGTGTGGACCGTTGCGCGTGCGCTGCGCGCCGACGTTTCAACTCGATCAAAACAAATTTCTCACCCCACCATGTTCTGCGTGTTTGTCTTCTAGGTGTTAATCGTCCGTTAGAAAGATGGGGTCCGACGAAACGTCTGTACCATATGTAAATTTTAGATAGTAGCGTTTAATCGTTCAACGTCCGTCGATTTACGGTCTCTCCCCAGACAGTTCTGTTACATCCTAGGTCTAACATATACAGTTATGTAGATAGTCTAGATTCTATACATATAAAAAGAAAGTTATCAAGTTTCGTGTGGCGCGTAGAATAATGATGCACCCTCACTAGTATTCTACGCGTCTCTTCTTTAGACGCTGCTGTTGCCGTTGCTTCACATTAATTGTTTTTTATCTTGTACTAACGCGTTGATTTTGTTTGTAGTATTCCGGTTTATCTGTATGCTGTCAAAGTTTCATATCGATCCGGGCTGCGTCTAAAATGGCAAAACAATTAAATCTGCAGGGGTGGCGGCCGACCGCGATCGCCGGAACGTCGACGTTATTTTGCGAACCACTCGTTTCCGTAATGTCGCCGTTCCGTCATCGCTCACGGAGATTTTTTCCATCTTTAATTATTCTTTATGTCACGTCATTTTCAAATCCCCATACCGAGTGATCGCCGTTAGTGTATCCCATTGTTAGTGTCGCATCGTCGGTTAAATTGTGTTTTTGGGCGACTCTGAGTGGCGGTTTACTGAACTAAACCACTTCTAAGACTATTTTCGATATCCGACAGAGCCGTTCGGTGTTTTTGTCAACAAAAATTGACATTTGGTCTTATTTAACCGATCGATATGATAGCGGTTTAAAGATTAGGGCACCATTCAATCGTAAATTGTGTATGACAGAGCAGCCTGACCAACCGGCTTGTCGCACGCAAATATTTACCAATATACTCCGTATCGGATTTCTTTTTATCAACATTGATTGGTCGCGGATCTGCAAGAAACACTATCTCGTTCTAATTCTTCGTATTGGCCTACGATAACGTGGCGGCGATTCCTTGTTTCTAGTATCTCGCCGCATATTAAAGTGACAGTCAGGCTGATCGGCTTTTCTTTTTATTCGATTTTCCGGAAAGAAACTTTTCCACCCGCTCACCCTCTCGTGGAGTGGTTCTTTTCTGGTTCCTGTTGGAGGGAGTTTATAGTTCACGGATTTGTCAAAACATCGTCCTCAGATTAACATATCGGAAAGACCAAGACCGTCGCTTTATGGATAAATTTTCCGAGTGGTTGGCAAATTTAGCTGTAGCGCGTTTATCATTGATGTCTATCTGACGAACCTCTGGTTAATGTTACGTTGTGCGACCCTAGCCTTATAATTTCCTCCTCCTCCTCCTCCTCCTCCTCAAAAAAAAAATATTGAATCACGTTTTACTAGCAATTATAGTTATTGATGGGGTGTTTTGTTATAGTATACCGAGTAAAATGTATGGTTTGTATATTGAACTCAAGTGTCGGTAAACCGGGTTGTAACTCCTGTGTATACAGATTCTCCATCAGCTCCGGCAAGACTGGCACGATTTACAAATAAAAATACAAAACACAAATCTCCTATTTATTAATGCCAAATATTTGTGACGTGGCATTTCAGTCGAATGTTGTTGTAATTTTTATGGTGAATATTGACTCGTTAATTTGTTATAATTGTTATTTTATAATATAAAGTGATGTAAAAAAAGAAAAAAAAATGCCTGTTTTCCGATCTTTTGGCCGTTTAGAGACCGGACCAGGCCACGAATATGAGGTGAATCGGACTAGTTCGGATAAAGACGCAAGTGCGCCTCGTCTACCTACCTATATACATAATAACTTTTATTGTCTGTCTTACAATGTGCTTTTATTTATAAAATAAAAGGTCTTTGAGCTTTAAATTAAAGAGAGGTGAATAATAAACCTAATATTAAGATGTTTAATGTTCCATTTCAGGATCAAATATAATATTTTTGTGAAAAGGCTTTTTTATTCCTTGTTACGTTTGTCAAATTTTGCCCTGAAATTGTAAAGTTAGTTCCACAATAATTGTAATATAATTTAAGAAAGATTACAAAATGCTACAAATATTTTCATAATGAAAGTTAAACTTTAATTAAAATATAATCACGCATATATAAACATAACTGAATTTTATTTAACTTCCTAGCCTCTATGTATTTTTATCTATCCCAAAATTTCCGCAAAATATGCTTAGCTTAGTAGTTCTATATAGTTATAGTATACTTAAATATATATAATTCAAATTCTTTAATATAGTACTTATATTGTATATTAAATATATTTATAGTTATACAATACGTATTACCGGTTTCTTGATATAGGTTCTAAACAGCATACTATACTGTCGTGCTAAGATTGTTCTCCATTTCATCATTGGACATGATGCGATTGTCCGAAATGTATCGCAAACCTCTCCTAACACGACTGAATAGGCGCACTGTATTTGTTGAATAATTTAAATATAAAAACCATTTTAAAAGATAGAAAATCATTACAGTAAAACACCTGTCTAAAAATATATTGTATAAATTTTCTGCAATCCGTTTTCTGGGCCACTGGCGCTGAGCGTTCAGTGCCCAGTTTTTGAAGAGTGGTTTTGATATTTTTGTAAATTGATGGGTCTTCTTACGCCGAAGAATATATGACAAAGTATTGTTTTTTAAAAATCCGTGTTTTATTTACAATTACTTGTAATAACACAAGCCCCGTAATTCCCTTCAATTCGAATATTCTACACAAAGGTTGATTATTTTTAAAGGAATCTGGCCTGGTTTTCTGCGTCGGAACAAAAAAAAATTATAATTACCGCCAAAATGCATTTTCAGAGATTTAACAGATTTCTGTAATACCGAAACAAAACTAACTAAAAGATTTCTCTTGATTGGTTGTGACGACGCTAACCGAATCCCCTGCAGCGACACCTATAAAGAATGCTCATAAAATTAGTTAGACGACGAATTAGTGGTTGATAGCGTGGAAGAGTTCGTTGTAACAGGTAAAATCTAATTTAATATTTTAAGAATAATTAAAATGACTCCAATTGTTGTTCGTACGCCGTTGTAGTTTGTTTAGAAATCGTTAACCTACAAATCTTTGGTGCGCAATGGGTTGTACGCACATTCCATCCTCCATATTTGATTTCCAATTTTAACGCCTTTCAAATTACTTGACGATCTATTTCCTAAATTGGTGTTCACATGGATTCTTTTTTTAAAATTAATATCTAATTAACAGTGATCAAATCTGACCTGCCATATTTTTAGTCAAAGCTAGTCAAAGTGCATTTCATGTTCATATCATCCTAGAGTTTGGTGTTTATTTAACGGGATTTATATTGGTTGGCAAAAATGAAGGGGAAATCGGTAGCGACACATATAAGGAGGACTAGTTCAAGTATTTATACGACATATTGGCAATTGATAATGTGGAATAGTTCGCAGCGTTTAACTTTATAATGATTTAATTTTTGTTTCGTACGTAGCTTTCGATTTGCTTGGAATTCATAACCTACAATTTTTTAATGTGCAGAAGCTTGTGCGCAGATTCCGTTGGTTACGCCGAAGAATATATGAGAAAGTATTGTTTTTTATATTTTTATATTTATATTTATATTTACAATTTATATTTACAATTACCTCTAATAAAATAAATATCCTAATTCTCTTGAATGCGAATATTCTACACACTGGTTATTATTTTTAAAGGAATCTGGCCTGGTTTTCTGCCTCGGAACAAAAAAAATTATAATTACCGCCAAAATGCATTTTCAAAGATTTAACAGATTTCTGTAATACCGCAACAAAACTAAATAAAAGATTTCTCTTGATTGGCTGTGACGACGCTAACCGAATACCCTGCAGCGACACCTATAAAGAACGCTCATAAAATTAGTTAGACGACGAATTAGTGGTTGATAGCGTGGAAGAGTTCGTTGTAACAGGTAAAATCTAATTTAATATTTTAAGAATAATTAAAATGACTCCAATTGTTGTTCGTACGCCGTTGTAGTTTGTTTAGTAATCGTTAACCTACAAATCTTTGGTGCGCAATAGGTTGTACGCACATTCCATCCTCCATATTTGATTTCCAATTTTAACGCCTTTCAAATTACTTGACGATCTATTTCCTAAAATGGTGTTCACATGGATTCTTTTTTTAAAATTAATATCTAATTAACAGTGATCAAATCTGACCTGCCATATTTTTAGTCAAAGCTAGTCAAAGTGCATTTCATGTTCATATCATCCTAGAGTTTGGTGTTTATTTAACGGGATTTATATTGGTTGGCGAAAATGAAGGGGAAATCGGTAGCGACACATATAAGGAGGACTAGTTCAAGTATTTATACGACATATTGGCAATTGATAATGTGGAATAGTTCGCAGCGTTTAACTTTATAATGATTTAATTTTTGTTTCGTACGTAGCTTTCGATTTGCTTGGAATTCCATAACCTACAATTTTTTAATGTGCAGAAGCTTGTGCGCAGATTCCGTTCGTTACGCCGAAGAATATATGAGAAAGTATTGTTTTTTATATTTTTATATTTATATTTACAATTTATATTTACAATTACCTCTAATAAAATAAATATCCTAATTCTCTTGAATGCGAATATTCTACACACTGGTTATTATTTTTAAAGGAATCTGGCCTGGTTTTCTGCCTCGGAACAAAAAAAATTATAATTACCGCCAAAATGCATTTTCAAAGATTTAACAGATTTCTGTAATACCGAAACAAAACTAAATAAAAGATTTCTCTTGATTGGCTGTGACGACACTAACCGAATACCCTGCAGCGACACCTATAAAGAACGCTCATAAAATTAGTTAGACGACGAATTAGTGGTTGATAGCGTGGAAGAGTTCGTTGTAACAGGTAAAATCTAATTTAATATTTTAAGAATAATTAAAATTACTGCAATTGTCGTTCGTACGCCGTTGTGGCTTGTTTAGAAATCGTTAACCTACAAATCGTGGGTGCGCAATAGGTTGTACGCATATTCCATCCTCCATATTTGATTTCCAGTTTTAAGGCGTTTCAAGTTACACCTCGTGGTTTTAATAACATGTAAGTGTCCTCTACCTGCTACTGCAACAGCTTTTGTAAATGTTTAATGATAATTTAATTTACCGAAATACTGTCCACGTAGATCTCTTTTTTACATCTAATTAACTTTGCGAAATCGAAATAATACGTTTATATCTATTAACTTCAACATGGCGGAGCACCCAAAGCCAACCGCCATATTGTAATTCCGTTAATTTGCTTCCAGTCTATTGCGATTATCTTAATAAATATATTTTTGATGGTAATTTTCGGTAAATGTTTCTTCGGTGGTAACTTCTAAGTGTCTGAAATAAATTCGCTTTGCGCAAGCGCGGTAGGGATGCACGAAATTTCTTTTCGACAGACTGTATCTAAATTCTTCGTTAGCGGACAACTTGTACACTCATTCTGCTTTAGCTTTTACGGTACATGCGCTGAAGATAAAGAACCTCTATTTACATAAATTTTTGGTTACATCGTTTCGAAACATGGGTCATACATGGGTTGTTCCGTTTAGCACGCATTTTTTATATTTTACTAGATCTATTTTTGTTTATGCGATATTCTAGCCGAGTTAACAAAATGGAAAAAAAACAAAAATCGTAAGATATTAATTTGGCGGTATATAAAAACATCGTCTAGCTAATTAAAATAAATAATGTTTGGCATTATATACAAATTTTTACTAAAGTTAATTTGTTTTTAGAGTTTCGGTGCATACCAATAAAAGGGAGGTAAGATTCACTAAACATTTGGTACAAGAGTTTATAATAAATTTCTTACTTAGGCAACATTTTTTCCCAAAACTATCAATGTTTATATTGGTTATCGGTAACGTTGGGATTTTATATAAGTTGTCTGTATTGTTACTTTATTTATTGCCTTATAGGTTAGATTAGCGTTTTATTATTACCGATATAGTTTTAAAACATCTTTAATATTCCAATTTGTTCCAGTCACTAAGAGAATTCATTAAAGAAAGGCGAAAGATGGCTGGCAGAGTTATGGCAAGTGGAGATGTAATTGAAGATCCGTATGAAGCGGCTTACAGCTATAAACTGAAAAAAAAGCAGCGTACCTTATATGCATATGAACCTGCCTTGGAGCACTATAATGTTTTTGACGCTGACTATCCTGAAAACCCTCAACGAAGTGTTCTTATACACGAACGGTAATTTTTAATTTATTATTAAAGCAAGTAAAGAATTATTATACCTACTTATATTGCAGCTTAAAAGAATCAGGTATTCTCGACAAAGTCTGCAAATTGACTGAGGATCAACACCTCCTTATAGAAGATGATGAACTCTTGAAGTTGGCCCATTCAATGGATCACATTAACAATATCAGGTATCTTTGCAGGGAAGTTAACCATGAAGACTGTGGACTATATGATAGCATTTATTGGAGAGCCATGGTTCGTTATTTCCCATCACTAAATGTTAAGGAAATTCATTTCTCTATGCCTTCATTACAGGACACCTATCATGCAGCAGTACAAGCTGCTAGGGTGTGCGTTTCCATGGCGGCTGCTATTATGGTCAATGACTATGGGAATGGTTTTGCCAACGTCCGACCTCCCGGACATCATGCCAGTACCGATATGCCAAACGGATATTGCATTTTTAATAATGTGGCGATCACGGCCGAATATTTGCTGTCTCTGGGGTTGGCCAAGAAAATACTAATAGTGGATTATGATGTCCATCATGGCCAGGGTATACAAAGGCGTTTCTATGATAGAAAAGAGTAAGGTTTTTTCACTTAGTGTATTGTAATACAATTCCAAAATTTAGGGTATTGTATTTCTCAATTCATCGGTTTGACGAGGGAAGGTACTGGCCCTGCCTCCCAGAGAGCAATTTCACCTATATAGGTGAAAAAGAGGGTTTAGGATTTAATATCAATGTTCCCTTAAATAACATTGGATTAACCGATGTAGAGTATATGGCAATCATACTCAATATTTTATTGCCGGTGGCTTATGAAGTAAGTTTAAAAAAGAATAGTATAAGGTTGCCTTGCCTTGTACCATTTTTTAAAATTGCATTTCTATTATAGTATACGCCTGATATTGTTTTGGTCGCAGCCGGTTATGACGCCTGTCTGGGTTGTCCCGAGGTAATTATTATTTTTCTTTTCTAGTTTTCCCCCGATATAATTCTTGTTTCTGCCGGATATGACAGTTGCCTTGGAGATCGAAAGGTAGGTCTCAAAATGGCCTGTGTTATCATGTTTACTGTTAATATTAATTTTTCGTTGGTTGTTTGGGTTGTTTGTTTTTTAAATGCTCAACCGGGCTTTTTGGGACCCTCTGCTTCAATTGAAACTCCATCCCAACACCATTTTCCTTTTGAAATTTCAATTTCATATTGGTGGTTCACATTTCTTTTTTTTTGTTATGTGCTATGCTGTGCTATGCTTTACGTGCATAGCAAATCCGATCATGGGTAAATGTGTATGTATATTTGTTAATTATGAACTTGTAGGGTTCAATGAACGTTACACCTGCATTTTATGGCCACGTAATCACCGCTCTGAGTGGCCTTGCCAACGGAAAAATTTTGTGCATCCTGGAGGGAGGATATTACCCGCCTAGTATGGCTGAAGGAGTGGCATCCACCATAAGAGCGTTGTTGGGATATTCATGTGACCAAACTGCACATGGGTATTACCTGAAGCCAGGAGTCGTTGATACCATCAATGATGTCAAACAGATACTGAAGCCTTATTGGAATTGTTTCCAACTAGATCCCGAGGTTGAGATTGAGGACATATTCTCCTACGACCGGTACAATCAACATATGGCTGTAGAAAAGTACTATGGAACAATGCTAGAACCTCCTTTTGAGAAAACTGGGTACCCAAAGTTGACTGTCGAAGAGGAGCGTTTAGCAGCGAGCAAACTACATATCCTTGTTTCTGGTAATTTGTCACTTAAATTACATCCATACATCATTGACATGTTCTTCCAGATTATGCCGTAAAAGAATACAAGATCGGGTATATCTACTCAGACAAGTTCAAACTCCACAAGCCCCCTAAGAAGTCAACTATAGTAGAAGCACCCGTTCGAATTGAGGAGCTAATGCATAAATTAAAATATTTCCAGTTACTTAACAGAATGTTAAAATTTCAAGTAACTTAATTTATTTGGGAGGGGGGGGGGTATATTGCAGATAACAAGCGTTTTTTTTTTTTTGCAGCTACGTGTACAAGACGGTTGGGAAGAAATTATAAGGGCAACCCACAGCACTGAATACGTTGATCGGGTGATTAATGAAGAAGTTGACCAACGCCCTGATCTGTATACCAATGAATTCACCTCGGAAGTGTGCCAGTCGGTGATTATGGGCTTACTTAATTTGGCTGTTGGCATAAACGATGGCAAACTGCATGCTGGTGTAGCCTTGGTACGCCCTCCGGGGCACCATGCGAAAAGGAACGAAGGTGGAGGGTTTTGTGTCCTGAACAACGTAGCGGTCCTCGCTAATTATATGATCAAAAAGTTGAATTTTAAAAGGTAAGTCCCAAAAATAAACCAAACCATCCAATGACCCCGGCCTTAATTGTCTTGTTTAATTTATTTAGAGTACTTATAATCGACTTTGACGTCCATCACGGAGATGGGACGCAAGAGTTGACTTACGAGCGAAGGGACATAATGTATATGTCCATGCATCGATTTGACAATGGAAAGTTCTTCCCAAATTGGGAACGTTCCAATTACAATTTCATCGGATCAGGAAAATATGCAGGATTTAACGTCAACATTCCTTTCAACGAGGTACAAATTATTGTTTTTTGTTATTAACAAGTCTTCAATACGGATCTTCTTTTAAGGCCAAAATGGGAAATTCTGACTACTTGTTCACTTGGTTCAAGATCGTGCTGCCAATTGCGTATTGCTACACCCCTGACTGCATTATCATATCGGCAGGATTCGATGCCGGGATTAATGATCCGCTAGGTAAATTATTTTACCTCTCGCTCAACTTAGTCCTAGGTGTGATTTTTTTTTTCTCAGGTTCCTATAACATTTCACCCGAAACTTTCGCGCACATGATTCAAACCGTGAAGCCCATCGCGCCCATCATTCTTTCCCTCGAAGGCGGTTATAACTCAGAAACGACTTCGCTCGGGATGGTGTTATGTGTGAAGTCTTTATTGGGTGACCCCATACCGGTACCCAAGCTGGATCCCATCCAGTCGGAAACCGTAACTACTGTCACCAACGTGATTAAGGTCCTCAAGCCGTATTGGCCGATCTTGTTTAGCAATAAAGCTTTGGGGAAGAAAGTGTATTCCCAGGAGGAGGTAGACCACCTCAGAGAAAACATGACGAAAGTGGAGGAAACGCAAACCAGCCCTGATGTTTAGAAATGTCTTCCACTAAGTACTAAGAAAATAATGTAATTTTTTTGTTTTATGGCTGTGAAACTGTTGCTATTGAGAAAGTCACAGTTCCTATTGATTAGAATAAAATATAATTAATTTCCTACTCTTGTCGCACAGTTATCACACCTCTACGAGGGGCCAAACAGGGACTTGTTACTTTCTCCTAATACATAATAAATAAATAAATAACCACCCATATTGGCTTTTTTTCCCTTCCCTCGGGGTTGGGGCCAAGCTATGCTTTTAACGCCCCATTTAATTAAGATAAAACCTGACAGTTTCAGCTGTATTTTTTAAATAGTGATTAAAAAAAATTTGAATTTTAATGGAAATTTTCGATTTGGATAGGTGCGAAAAGAATTCGATTGTTTTGAAAAGCAAATTTTCCAAATCGCGGGAAATTCAAGTCACCAACTTTCGGGTTAAAAGTGCTACCAACGCAACGAATAAAAGACACTATTGGTGAAAAGTTAGGAAAGTGTCGCTATCTATTGGTCGGAAGGGGAAGTTGCGCAAGCGTGAGGTTGTAGTTGCCGACATTATGCACCAATAGAAGAACAAGTCGATCGATACCATAAATGGTTTAAACTTGGGAATTATGACTTTAAGTTGTTCAAAGAACTTATCACCTTCAAGCCGTTTCGACGTTAAATAATTTTTCTTTCACACCAATAAATTGAAAATATCCCTGTATAATGCTGAAGTAACTAAAATTTGGCGCGGTATTTAAATTTCGTATTCCTGTTTTGGACTAAATAATAATACGTATTGGGAGTTACTTGCACAACTGCAAACGATTTAAACCTCGCAAAGTTTTCCAGCTTTATTTAAGTTTAAAAAAAATTCTCCCCGAATGGAGAGTAAATGTAAAATGTTAATTTACATTAAAAAAAAGTTAGTTTTCAAAACCGGCAAATCAAACAATCCAAATGGATGGTCCTCAGAATACGAAGGATACAAAATGAAAGCAAAATCGGAATTTCGGTCAATAGGAATTACGGTTTTTGTGCATATCTAAAAATAGAACTCCGAAGTTCTTATCAAAACCCTTTCAGTTATTTTCGCGTGGTAGTCAATAATTCCTGAACTATTTTTCAGGAGGCGCTAGCGTAGCACCAAACACGCAGTGACGCTGAAATCTACGATTGATCCTTCAGTTTAGTGTGCGGGTTTCAGTGGTTGCGGCACACGGTCGATATTTCCTTACAGATTATATTTTTCATTTCATTTTTCGCCGTTGTGGTGGTATTAATTCGGGTGGACTCTCGGGAGGATGATTTATATGAAGGTAACAAAACTTACCTTATTTAAATAAAATATTGACTTCCAAAATTCGGGTTTACGTATTTTGCCACCGCATTGAAGGGAGTGGTATTACAAATTGCTTAATTATAAGGGCAAACCGGTACTGCATGTTATATTTGAAAGTGTGAATTAATTATTCCCTGAAATTTCAAGGGTGACATAAACCTTGAAAAAATATGACCCAATTTTTGTTCTCATATTCCTATTTATATGCCCTAAAATTTCTCTGATTAGATTTTTATATCGTTATTAGTGATGTTGATTGTTCCTTGGGCTCTATATTTTTTATTTCGTTTTATAGGCCAGCTAGTGGAAATATTTGAATACGTTTGCAACAAACTTATTTAATATTCAATTAAGGTAAGATGTGGGTACTTAAATATTCGGCCTATAAGTGGAGAATGTTGCGACATTTGATCCTAAATATTCAAAAGAAAGTAGAAAAAGGCGCTCTATAAGCTACCCTACAAATAACACAATTTTTTTTTAATCTAAAAGCGTTAATTATTTCACCACTGGTTTAGATTATTTTAGAAGTAAATAAAATCCATTTCTTAAGAGAGATTTTTTGAGGGAAATAATTCAACTATATATATATAAAAAAAAGTCGCGAATATGCAGTATAAGCAAACTTCTGATCAGTTCTGGGAAGAAATTTTAATACAAAACATGAAATATATACTTTTTGAATTATTATTTATTATATTATTATTTCAATATTCGTTAGTTTTATGTGAAAAGATTGCTGATAGCAGATATGGTCAAAAGTGCCAGAAAAGTCAAAACGCGTTGATTAAACTCCGGCACTGGTCCAATAATAGTGAATGCTATAGGATAATCGGTTTAAGCAAATATGGCATTACTATCAGTTATCGGATGTTTGAGTGATTCATACGATCGTTTTGCATCAAACAAACAAATTCCTTCCAAAATGCTCTATTAGTGCGTTTTCGTTGCTTAGTATTAAGCTATAAATCGTAGGCAGTCAAAAGAATTTCAAAATATTCGAAAGCAACTTGCAGCGGAAGGGCGACACCTATATATTCGAATTGAAATTGATTTTCAGTAAAAATATGTGCCATAATGCAGCTGCGCTGCAGCGTGATTTCTTCCATGCCTTAAATATATCCGATATGGCGACATGAAATTTTAAAAAATCTTTGACAAAAATGAAAAGGGGTATATTATAATTATGACAAAATAATTTGCAACAGCTTGTGATGGCGAAAACCAAAGTGATCAGTAATATTTTAGTTTTAGCTAAAATTGCACTTGTAAGTTTATGTTTTATAATTTTGTATTCATTTATTAATTTAAGAAATTCCTATGAAAAATAAATTTCGGTTTTTGAAAAAATGATAAACAGATTCAACAAAGCGAAGCATGATGCTCATAACCTGCACTTAAGGCATACAACAAAGGCCAAATAGTTTAAAAGATAAGTTAAAATGCAATCAGGAAATTTTCTTAATTTGTCAAAGATGTTAGACTTTCACGGCCAGAAACTACATTACTAAATATTTCCGGGCTTTTGAGCCGTGGTCCCGAGATTAAACTCGACGTTTCGTCTACAACTGCGGTAGACATTTTCAAGAGCGGCGATGCGGTCACGCCGAGGTCACGCCCACTACAGCGCGCTTAAATACGGCAGATCTTCCAGTCAACCAACCAGTCATCGGAGAGCAGTACGGAAGAACACTTCGACCGTTACCGCATCGCCGCTCTTGAAAATTTCTTAATTTGGTTTTATCTTTTAAACAACTGGAAGGTATTTTTCAAGGAAGGTTAGATTAGACTAAGGCAAAATACGTTAAGATGGGTATCTAAGCTTCAACTTCTTTCTTGTTGTTATATTGCGATAAAAGGGACAAAACATATTTTCTCCTAGACTGAAAAACCGATCGCAGATAGAAGATGATAGATCCATCTTCATCTGAAGAAGACAGCGAGGAAGAACATGGATCAGGTCATCATGTGGGACACCATCCACCCGCGCATCATCCTAATTACCAAACTCATTCACACCCGGTAAAAAAAATTCCATTAGAAGATTTATGATCTATTTAGTAATAGTAACTAGAATCATATGAGAGTCATAAAAACCACTACTCTAACACAATAAGGCATCTGGAGAGTTAAATTGTTAATCTTTTATTACTCTCTTATAATTCTTTGGCTCGTCATACTGAAAATATAGGAGAGAAAAATTTGAAAATTGATTTGACCATTTGTATTGATAGATAGATGATGAATGATAAATAAAACTATATTTTTAGATCTAGCATTAGAATTCAAGGGGTTTTCAACAAAAAAAAGTTTTTTTGAGGAGACTTATGTTATGTTCGATTATGAAGCATGTGAGTGTGCGCGTGTGTGATTTTTAGGCGGAAGCATCACCGTATCATTCTCACGGGTCTGACGGTAGCGGAATCCTAGAGATTCCGAACAATGCTGCATTGCAGCGATCTTTGTCACCAAGCAGTGCCGTCTCTGCGGAAACCCACAGTATTGGGTCTTCCTCGAGAGCAAATTCTCTACCCCGACCAACCAGTCCGTCTCCTTCTGTCGCTTCAGAAAAGACTGAAGTTGACATACAAGAGAAACAGGAGCGCGAGGAGGAGGAGAGGAAGAGAAGAATTCAGCTTTACGTATTTATATCGCGATGTATAGCGTATCCCTTTAATGCGAAACAACCAACCGATATGACGCGACGTCAAACTAAAATTACTAGGCATCAATTAGATGCAATTGTAAATAGATTTCAGGTAAGCCCGTCAAAACATGCGGCTCTAAAACCTATCTATAGGGATCTATATATACGGAGCGTACAGTAGACCTCAAAATATCACTATTTGTTTCCATGAATAATATTTCCCTTAAGTAAATGTTATCTCATTATGTCATATTGAACTTATGTGAAGGGCACAGTGCCTTGCAGACTTCCGAAGCATGGAAATAAATTCCTTTTATTATTATCAAAATGTGTGGCTTTCCAATCTAGAAAGAAGGAAGAACGCCCATTTGGGGTATATGTTCATTGGAGAAAACAATGAAAGGAAACAATAGTGATAATAAAGAGATTAGCAAATCATCCTCGTCATAATAAATAAGAACTTAAAGTTCAGATTTTCACGAAATTATATATTATGACATGACAATTGTTTCGACAACACCGTGTCTTTATCAAATGTCAAATGTCAAATGTCAAAAGATATATGATATATATGATAAAGACACGGTGTTGTCGAAACAATTGTCATGTCATAATATATAATTTCGTGAAAATCTGAACTTGTAGTATTATTTTGATAAATGGATTTTCATCAAGTAAAAGCCACCTCAGTTCAATCATACTCGTCATAATTTACTTTGTAATTATTTGGAATTTCAAATCCTGCACTCGGCAGCAGCTACGTATATGATTTTACTTTTGAAAGCAGCGTGTATCTACGGCGGGATGTGTCGCTTTTTTGTTTCAGAGTTTTTTAAAAGGCGAAACTCAAATAATGGCCGACGAAGCCTTTCAAAATGCTGTGCAAAATTATTATGATGTATTTTTAAAATCCGAAAGGGTTGTTAAAATGGTTCAATCAGGTGCCTGTTCACAATATGACTTCCGAGAAGTTTTCAGAAATAATATAGAAAAGCGAGTAAGGTAATTTCGCATTTTACCATTTTCGTTTAACGATTTTTTTGTTGCTCCAAATATTCCCAACCGATATATCTACGTGTTGCGCAGTTTTCCGTAATTGATTTTCCGCATGAAAAAGCATAACGCAACTTATCTATTAATGTGGCATGAGGTTTTATTAAGGTTTTAACAACTGATCGATAGTAATCGCGATTTCTCATGGTGTGCTTGATAACCTTTAAAAATGTGGAATAAAATATATTACATACGACCACAAAAGGATAACAAAATTATCGGTCTCCATATTCATGTCTACCTCACGTTATTCTGATTTTCCACAATTTGCAAAATGTTTAGCATATTGCTAACCCTTGCGTCTTGCTTAGCTTAATATTGGACATTCCCGCGGAACATTGACTTGGTTGGGGCATTTTAAATAAAATGAAAATAGGGTGCATCTTTTTACCTAAAATCCAAATAAATTTAAAAATATGAACACTGTTTCGCATACAGGTTTTTATTTATTTTTCAACCTTGAAATATATACGCTTGAGTGTTTCTTGGCTTGAGGTTGTGCAGTAATATCAGAATTCATTAGAATTTTATGTTTTAGTCAACGTTTCGATCACAATAATAATAATAATATTTAAATAATAATACTTAAATATTTTTTATAAAATTATTTACATTCCCTACCGTTATTTCCAATGAACACCGACATATATAGATTAGTACAAATATGAAATAATGTACAGGAACATTTTGTACCTGTTATTTATGTTTATTATGTCTTGCCAAGAGTTTCTTTAATTGTTAGTTTATCTTATTGCCAACTTTTAAATAATTTCTTTGAAATTAAACTCATGGTTTGTTAAAATTTCGTGTTTGTGTAAAGCAGTTAATGCGTTTTTAGTATATTTTTGCCTCATTTATAGAATTTTCTAAAGGTTGGTTTACGATTTACTTGGACTATTTATGCAAGGTGTTGAATATTCAGCATTTGGTTTCTTTTTAACTGGAATTTTACTTTTTAATGTAGTCAAAATTTATTTTATTGATTTGTACGCTTTGTGGAAAACTGTGATGTCATATTTACAAAGAATATGTTTTGTTTTTTTATATAAATTATTTATTGTGACACAAGAAAGGGGGAATTCTCTATATCTTTTAAACGGCTTGAGGTAGCGATTTGAAATTTGGAAGGGAAGGGAAATATAGGCTGAATGTCCATTTTTTTGACAATATGTAGTCCGGACATCGGGCTGCATACAATGCTCGAGCCTGTCGAGAGTTTTTTCTGCATTCCCATTATATCGGAAACTTATCAACTTTTTCTCCATCTGTAAACTGATTATTGTATTCCATGATAATCCAAATCGATAATACGAAAAAATCGATAATCAGAAAAAAATGTACAAACTGTCAGAATTTTCAATCATGCCGACTTGATGATGATTAGAAGCAAAGCCACCAAAGCAATATTTTAGTTATATAAAAATGTATTTACTTATCTGGTTTTTTCCTTTCTGTGAGCTTCATTTTTAACGGGTTTTGAAAATTTTGCTGTCAAATTGTTGCAAAAAAAGTACCGATTTTAAAAAGTTTTTGTTCCCACTAAGGTGGCTACTTGAAAGAACTAGGTTCTCCTAAACAATTAATGTTCATTTAATGAAATGTTATTTGCCATTAGACAAGTAAATAAAAGTTTTATTTACAATTTTTCCCATGTTCAAGTGGCCCGGTAAATAGTATTTATGATGGTCACAGCCTTCTGGACACAATTTTCATCAAATAAATAAAAATGAAAAAAAAAAAAATAATAGAAAAACCGTCCTAGCCCAAGTAGAATGACCTCCTGAATCCTAAAATGCAAAAACCGGAAATGTTGACTACATATTTTCAAAAAATTGAACATTCAGCCCATATTAACCCTTCTAAATTTCAAATCGCTATTTGAAGCTGTTTGAAAGTTATAAAGTGTCACCCGGTCTGGTATTTTTTGATATTTTATTTTTATAATGTAGTTTCGTTGTTTAAAAATTTTGTTAATTTTTTGTTTTGTTTTTGATAAAACTTCTAATCTATATTCTGAAATGTTGATATGATTGAACAACCTCGATCCCCGAACTACTTAAGCGTTATTTATATATTTCTGCATATATCAACTAATAATATTTTAAATATGTGTTGATTTTTGACCAGTTTAAGATTTCTTCTCTTTAAACGCTCCTCCGTCCCCAACCCTGGGACCCATTATAATGGGTCCTCAGCGGCACTTAGCTATTGACTTGAATAAAGTCGACCCCACCCCCGAGACTTGGACGCGCCTGCTGAGAGTTACCTAAGTGGATTCAGAGAAGGTTTCCCTTAGGCCGGATTAATACTCCTGTATGATAGAATATTTGTTCCAACCTCATGTTTTAAAACCGTTCCAGCACGAATTATCACCGTTCTTCTTTTAACTTCTAACCACTAACCCATATCTAGAAGATAGAAATGGAAGGCGAAATAGTTTTGGTAATTCAATGGGTGTGTTGTGTTTTGAGGTTTTCTTAGAAAGATTCGTCACTAGTCACAATTATTAATAAATTTATAAACCAAAACAAGAACCACGCAAAGCAAGCAAACTTCACACTAACGTAATGCAGCTGATATTCTGCTTATTTCATCAATTCAAATAATTAAAGTCTGTTCATAGATAGAAGAAAGTGACTAACTGATACGAATTAAGGAAGACCCGGGCAAGCTGTAAGAATGAAATATGGCCGAACAGGTCCGTACTTTGCTTAGAATTTAATTATTTGGGGTTTTGTTAGGAAAGATATTCAACAATATTTATTTGTTTATGTATGTATTTATGCTTAAATCGAAAATGAAATTACAAATTATTTTTATTATCTACTTCAATTACTTAAAATTATTCACATAATAAATCAATATCACTATCGCTATCATCGCCTGTTCTAATTATTATTTGTTCTATATTATTTGCAATATGGATATACGATGGTTCTGCTTTTTCTATATGTTTAACAGAATTTACCCAGCTTTGTGGAGCGATGTAAAAAACTTCGGTTTCTATAAGTTAAATTGGAGTTAACACGAGGAAGAACATTGTTACGACGAATGGCAGATTTCAGTTGGTGCCAAACATGTTCAATGAGATTAAATATATGCATGCCCTAGATTTTTTGCATAATTATCACAGACGTATTCCTTTTGTAGGTTCAAGCTTTGTAGGACCTCAATTAATTACTTTTTGCTATAATCTTCGTGAAAATAAATGTCGTTATTATACATGTAGTTTTGGATTGTTGCTTTTGTGTCACATGAGCAAGGGGTTTTAGCCAACTGTATACTGTGATAACTTGCATTGTCCATTACACTGACGCTATTAAGAGGAATTTTTGGAACTATAAGGCTGTTCGGAAAGTCATTTCGTTTTTTCCCGTCAGACGACTTAATTACGTTTTTTCGAAACCAACTTCACACTTAAGCCGCATAACCATTATATGTCTTGAGAGCTGATATTGCAAGGCTTGTGTGTGAAAAAGTTCTATTAATTCTACGCAGTAGTTTTTGGTTGGTGCCCTTTTAAATATGGAGAGCAATAAGCAGCATTTTCGTCATATTTTACTTTTTTACTTCAGAAAAGGTAAAAATGCTGTCCAAACGAGAAAAAAATTGACGGATGTGTATGGAGAAGGCGTGTTAACAGTACGCCAGTGCCAGAACTGGTTTGCAAAATTTCGATCCGGCAATTTTGATGTCGAAGATGCACCACGGTCTGGAAGGCCGGTCGAAGCTGACAAAGATGCGATAAAGGCATCAGTTGATGCAAATCGGCGAATAACCACACGAGAGATCGGTGAGAGATTAAATTTGTCGAATTCGACTGTTTATGGCAATTTGAAAGGCATGGGCTTTACCTCGAAGCTCGATGTGTGGGTGCCCCATGTCCTTACGGAGCGAAATTTGTGTCGTCGCGTTGACGTGTGTGATTCGCTCCTCAAACGTCAAGAAAATGATCCATTTTTGAAGCGGATTGTTACTGGGGACGAAAAATGGGTTGTATACAACAATGTTAAACGCAAGAGGTCATGGAGCAGAAAAGATGAACCGGCTCAAAGCGTGTCAAAAGCCAACATTCACCAAAAAAAGGTGATGCTCTCCGTTTGGTGGGATGTCAAAGGAATCGTTTTTTTTTGAGCTTTTGCCGGACAATACAACGATTAATTCAGAAGTCTATTGTCATCAACTGGACAAACTGAATGATTCACTTAAAGAGAAGAGGCCCGAATTAATCAACAGGAAGGGTGTAGTGTTCCACCAGGATAATGCGAGACCTCACACAAGTTTGGTCACTCGCCAAAAACTTTTACAGCTTGAATGGGACGTACTGCAACATCCACCATATTCTCCAGATCTGGCGCCTTCCGACTACTATTTGTTCCGGTCCCTGCAAAATTTTTTGGATAGCAAAACCTTTACCTCAAATGAAGATGTCAAAAACCACCTGAACCAGTTTTTTGCCAGCAAGGACCAAAACTTTTATGAGAGGGGAATTATGTTACTGCCAGAAAGATGGCAAAAGGTGTTGGACCAGAATGGCCAATATATAATTTAATAAAATATTTATTCATTATACGAAAACTGTCTTTCATGTTCCCCAAAAAAACGAAATGACTTTCCGAACAACCCAATAGTTTGTTTTAAACCAACTTTCAAATAAATCAGCGGTGGTGTCTTCATGGTAATCCAGAGAAGAATCTTTAATATTTTTCGCAGACAGAAAAAGTTCATTTCGAATCCAACCATCTTTAGAGCCAGCATGCAAAAGAGTTATTATTTTACCTCTTTTTGATGGCGCGTTTGTTTTGCACTTATCAGTTGAGTCAACCCAACCCTTTTCCGAGGTATCATAAGTGTCGAACCAGATTTCATCCAAGTAAATAATTGGCGTTTGTTGTTCTCTGTAAATCCTAATTTTTTCTAGATATTCGAGTCGCCATTTCCGAATTCTAAAAGATTCCATTAAAATTTGCCTTGTGTCAATTTTTTAAAATCTAAAACCCATGTGTTGAATACACTTCCATAAGTTAGTTCTGCCACATTTAACACCGGTTTCATCTTTTTCAAGCCTCCTAATTAAGATATCTAATGTAGGCATGCTTTGTTCCTCGTATAACTGGTAAATTTTAAGCCGTATTATATCTTGATCACTTTCATCTACACTCGAGAAAATGTCAGGATCGCTGCTTTTTTTCATCGCTGAAATGGGATTATTCACAATTTTCCATACAGTTGATGTTGGAATTTTCGTCAATGTGGCCGTTTGTTCTAAGGATGCTTGCTTGCTGGCGTCATGTTCAATGAGCATCAAATAAACATTATTTATAAAACTTCCTTAGTCTCAATAGAATTGTGTTTTCTACATTTGGGCGGGAGCATCTCCTGTGATACACTAGACTCGCACATATTTTGCATTATTCGCACACGATTCAACACACGCTGTATTACACACGAAATAAGAATGATTACTAATAAACTTAAACTAAGTAGTATACCAAACCAAAGAATATTAACCACAGGTAGGTATAAAATTATTTTCTATTACGTACCACAATTTTACCTGAATTTAAATTCCGAAACTTTAGGTAATAATCTTGTTGCATTGTATATTAATGACCACACTTGGATAATCTCATTCAAAAGCAATTGGTCATTTTCTTATATCTATGAACGGACCATACCACTGAATACCAAGTATCGAAATAACTAGAATCGCTCGAGAATGATAATTATCAGAGTCGGACAACTTTTAACTATTTGCGCATGAGCAAGATAGATCGTGCACGGTTATCGAATTGGTTGGAAAATACTTGAGTTACAAGAGCAAAGGCTAAAGTTATTTTTACATCTTGTCTTGTCTTGCTAGAAAATGTGAGACAAATAATATAAAAATATTTCAATTAAATTTATTCATTCAGAAGAAATGAAATTATTTATCAAAATTGCCGTTCCGATGCCTGGAAATGAGTAATGCAGCCCGTGAATTACGAAGCTCTATGTCGTCGGAAGAACCTTTTAAAGGAGATCCGCAATTCCTAAGGTTTCCCGTTATTGGAAATATTTTGTAAAAAGCGAAATACCTTAGCAACTGCAGAGGCCACTTTGTCAAATCGATGAATGAAACTAAATCGCATTGAAGTTGCTTTATGTTCAATTGACGTAAATAAATAAAACGGGGCTTTAAATATTTTAATGTCCGTTAAACATTGAAGCTTTAGATTTTCGATATTTGCTTATTTTTATTTTTTCCGGAGAAGTAAAACGTTTGGGTATGAGTTTCTCACATTTTTAGATCTTTGCCTGAAATGGAAGGTTTAAGTAAAGAAACGGTTTTTACGTCTTGGATGGCAAAGTTCGACTGTATTTTAAAAGGTAAGGTTCGTTTAACTTAACTACCAGTTTATATAAAACTCGAGCAATCATCTAAGCAGTGGTAGCCATCTTCAGGAGATGTGTTCGGATCTCCTATACATTATAAACACCACTAGCTTAGCATTAAACGATCTAAATACCTTTGTAGTACAAGACGATGAAACAAAAAGGCCTAGAATGCAACAGAATCTGAATTCCGAACTGATTTTATCGAAGGAGCAACTATACGATATGTTTCAACAAATACTAGGGGTTAAAAAATTCGAACACCAATTATTATTTAACGCGCTAATGGTGAGTTAAGAGTCTTAATAATGGATTTAGCATTTTGCCGTATTCGTACCAATTTTAGCTTGACTCTGCGGACGAACAAGCCGCTGCGATTAGACGAGAACTAGATGGTCGTATGCAAAAAGTCTCGGAAATGGAAAAAGTAAGTTTCATCGTGCATTCCAATTATCCGGTTGCGATTTACCCAGAACAGGGCGAAACGCCATTAACTTAATCGACTTTTCGCGGAGCGTTGCATTTGCTAAATAATAGAGCTTCAAAATCCCCTATTACTCGCATGTCATAACGTTCACAACACAGAAATTAGATCAATAATTCCGCGTGCTAAAGTTATTTGCGGGAATCCATATCGGGTGATGGGCCTGTGGTGGGTTAGAGAACTGAAAAGAGATTATTTTTGAAACTTATTTTTTCCAAAATTCAAATTCCAAAATCACGATAGACACGACTCGAAAATCCTAGTACTCAAGTTTTCAAAAAGAAATCTCTTCGGTTCTCCATGTTCGTCTAATCTATCATCGACCTTCAATCAGTAAAATTTTGTTTTTATTTTTCGGAAAACTTGAGGTTCATTTACTTGGTGCGAGCTTCTGAGAAAGTATCATTTTTGAAAAAACACATACTCGTTGGGCTGAAGATAATACAATTCCGAATTTAGGATCAATTCTGAATTTTGATTCGGGATACATTTGTTAGTTAAACGTTCTAAAAGTGATCATCAAAACGCGACAGTAGCACTTTGAACGTATAAATATTGTTTCCTTCCAGAATCGCAAGCTAATGCCAAAATTTGTGTTAAAAGAAATGGAATCTCTTTACATCGAAGAGCTTAAATCATCAATTAACTTATTGATGGCGAACTTAGAGTCCTTGCCGGTGTCAAAAGGATCAATGGATTCTAAATATGGCTTGCAAAAACTTAAACGCTATAATCACAGGTTGCATAACCATAATAATCCGTATAATGTGAAGCACATTTTGATGAATTATGTTACTTCTTTTAGATCGCAAGGATCTTTAGCAAAACTTGAGGGGGATTCGGCTGACAGTGATACCCAATTAACTAAAATGGATGTCGTTCTTACCTTTCAACTCGAGGTAAGTCGCGCGCACTTGTTAATTGTTTAATTTTCCCTTTTATGATATCTAACCCCAACATGCGACGCCAATTTTCTTGCACGTTTGACCTATTTTCCTTTTTATTCGCTTCCAATACATTTCACACACCGGTACAATTATTAAAGAATTCTATGTGGTCATTCAAGGATTTAATCAACTTACAATTTTGAATTTCCTTGTGGCGCTATTGAAGAATTTCAATTAAACCGCCCTAAAGAAAAATCGCATTAAAATGGGTTCCGAAAGGTTCCGACAAATCGACGTTTTGAAAGGTTGAATGAAAAATATTCCGGTTTTCTGTTACTTATTTTATTTTTACATCTTTCACCACCACCTTAGTGATTGTTTTAACGAGAAGTATATTGACGCAGATGAGGAAAATGACGTCAAATTATCTCATTGCTTTCGACGGTTCGTGCACCTACGCACATCTGTTGCACCTACGTTATTAAAGCAAAGACAAACAAGAAATTGCCAACCCTCCAATGTCTTAAACAGTTTTCGACGCCCACGGAAAAAGTGGAGTAATTTCCTCTGCGCACAAATTACCGGGAATATGATTTATAAATAGACGTAATTACCTGTTGGGGTTGATGTTTTTGAGCAACGATATAATTACTTTCTCGTCACCGCCCTGTTTGGTTGAAAACGTGTTATATACACTGCCCGGCAAAAAAAATCGGTCTACTAAAAATCTTCCCCAATTTCAAAGTTAGCTTGTTTTTTTTTAATTTGTAAACTGCAGAACTTAGTATTCTTAGTTGTATTTCCTAGGCGTAGTATTGTGTATGGTCTGTTCATAGATATGAGAAAGTGACCAAGGACGGATTATCCAAGGGTGGGCATTAACATACAATGCAACAAGATTATTACCTTAATTAATAATTAATTAAATAATAATTACCCTTGGATAATCCGTTCAAAAGAATTGGTCACTTTCTTATATCTATGAACAGACCATACCTATGGTGCTTACAAAGGCTTTCGGGAGTGACAGGTAGACGGATAGGTAGTTGACCTATCAGATCACTAAAGAGAAGTACAGGAAATAAAGAAATTGTAATAAATGAAGGAAAACAGTAACATCTATTATCTGGACGAAAGTTAGCGGGATGAACATTTAAAAAAAATATTGTTAGTGGCTTACTAGCATTTCAATCAAAACCGACTGAAGGCATGAAACCTGATGTTAAAGACTACTTACAGCAACTGCTAGATCTTATTATTGTTATAGTCATGGATAATGCAAGCTATCAATCAAGAAAATTCGTTTTCTTGGAAAAACGATGATACCATGCATTTACTTACAAAAGGGAATAGAGACTGAGGATTTTGAAAAAAACATATGTACAAATGAGGTTGTATTGTATATAATTCATCATTTTAATTAAATAATAGTTGTTGTATAACTGTAAAATATTTTCGATGTAGTGCGCATTTTCAAAAAATATTAAAAATATTAATCTTTCATCATCATATTCAAAACTGAATAAAATTCCTGATTTTAAAAAATCATGAAAATCAATGGAGCCAACCTTGAAATTGGGTCCAGTTTTTAGTTGCTGTTTTTTTTTTGCCTGTAAGTATGTATTAAATGTGCAACGCGAATTATGTGTTTAAGGTTCTTGTAATGGAGGTAAGAGGTATTAAATCGTTACAACCGAATAGGATCGTATATTGTACTATGGAAGTGGAAAATGGCGAAAAATTGCAAACAGATCAAGCAGAAGCGTCGAAACCAATGTGGGACACGCAAGGTGATTTTTGCACGACACACCCCTTGCCAGTAGTCAAAGTCAAACTTTATACCGAAAATCCGGCCATGTTGGCTCTCGAAGACAAAGAACTCGGCAAAGTCATTCTAAAACCCACTCCGCTCTCGTCGAAGGTAATTGAATCTACTCGACTTAAACGACAATTGTGGAGAAACTCCCTCTTGGCGTTATTTACTTTGCCTTTAATTCGATTTTCTATTTCACGCAGAATGGTTCATAAAACAAAAAATTGCTTTCCTCACGCGATCTGGTCGAAAGTATTGAGTGACAAGGTGGAGTTTTCACAACAGGAGCATGCTAATGTTGTCGTTCGATAGTATAGCCGTGAATTAGAAACACGCAACACAACAAGCTACACCGAAGCTTTGTTTGAATCACGTGCAATTGCCTGTCTATAGGCGCTTTATACGAATCATTATTATTTTTCCATGTTTCAATTTACGGACGATGTTGAATCCTTGTTTTTATTATTTTACAATTTTTGCTTTTTATAAAAATCGTTTAGGTAAATATATCAAGATTCAACGAAACTTATCTTAGTCCAAAAGTTGATATCAACCAAGATACAGAGTGTCAAAGTTGCAGTTTCATTTTTGAAATAATCGAGCATTTTTTTTTTTTTTTTGATGTGAGAAATCCATTTTCGTGAATAATTGGTACTTTTCGGGCATTTGATACTACCAAACTGTTTTGCGCCTTAGTGTATGCGGATTTTTAATAAACCATCACTTCTTACACAAAAAAATTATACCCTCTAAATTTCGCCCGAGTCGCCGTTTTCGAGAAATTTGGGTTTGAAATTGTCAGTACATTCATTAAAAAAAATTCGCAATAAATGTTCAATACGATTTTCATTCACTGTGACTCATTTAGAGACACGTTTATTGAAAAACTGAATGATTTTAAATAATAATTCCACGTTTCGATTCGGCGGCATTTTCAATCCTGTGCCATAATTCATCTCGAGTACTTCTTCGTACACTAGCTACTTGATATACCCCCAAATACAAAAATCAATATGAAGGAAGTTGATTATTTAGGTAGTCTCGAAAAAATCATTGTTCTTGTAGTTCATTATAATTCTCTTGGACGTGTAAATATATGTCGCGCATCTCCACGTTGAAAAACAAGTTATGTTTTGGCATTATCCGAAAACTAACCAAAACTATTTAAAAACACCCAAGATATTGACAAACAACAAAGAAATTCACCAGAACCTCAGTGCCTTTATCGCAATTGTTGTAGTCAAAGCCTACTTTGAAAAGTTTTGCTGGTATTTTACCGTGTATATTTTCGTCAGAGCCCACTTCGCACTAATTTACTGTCGTTTATTGTGATTATGTTAGTCTAAGCCTACTTTGGACTATTTTGCATATTCACATTCACAATTCGGCGCAACGAAAATTTCAAAATGCGAATTTCTCGAAAACGGCGGCTCGGGGCGAAATCGAAAAAGTATACCATTTTTTACGTAAAAAATATTCATATACTAAGGCGCAAAAAAGTTAGGAAGTATCAAATGCACGAAAAGTACCATACCAGCGCCCTCTATAATCTGCCCTAAAATTATTCACGAAAATGGATTTCTCTTGTCAAAAAATCCCGATTTGCCTTTTTTTTTACAAAAAGGTCGATTATTTCAGGAATTTTTCAAAAAAAACAAAAATTAAATTGCAACTTTGACAGCAAGTAGCAGGGTTGATATTAATTTTTGGACTAAGGTAAGTCTTTCCCTAAAGAATCTCTTATTTTTCCCTGCATAATTATTTACTCGCAGTACTCAGGTATGGTATGACCTCTCTCTAGGCCACTCTAGTTTTGATCTTCCTCGTTTTCTTCTGCCTGTTGGTTGCCAATGAAGTATTCTTTTAGGCCATCGGGCATTTGAAATTCTTTCTACGTATCCGTACCCCGCAAGTTCCCATCCGTCATTTCATGTTATCGTTTCTTATTCTTTCTCTTCGTGAAAGGTGTATCTGCGTAATTGAATCCCTTTCAACAGCCTCAACTCTTGTGTCTATCGAAAATTGTCCAGGTTTCCATATAGTAGGACGCTTTGAACCATGGATACGAAATTTTCGTTTCTTGGTTATTTATTTGCTTCGTAGTATTCCATTCAGAGAATCGATTACTTTTTTGGCTTTGACTATTCACTTTAAATTGTTTTTTACGTCGGTTTCCATGTTGTTGAACGTAAAGCCCAGATATTCATTTCTGGGCCATTGTCCAAGTTTCCGTCCTGAGTTCCCACATATAGATGCTTTGTCTTGGCTATGTCTACTGTCAATCCCCATTCTCTGTATTCCTTTATCAGCTTTCGCATCATATACTACACTTAGTCCTTATTAAATAAGCATCTATCATCAATTTCTATTCCCCTATCCGCGACCTTTCTTTTCTAGTTTTTTAATACCATTGAATGAATATTTTCTGTAACATTGTTTTAGAGTAAACACGTAGCCCGTAAGTAGATGGATAAAGGGACTTTCAGCCGAATCTAACCTCACTTTTTGGCTTCCCGGCCACGGGCCCCCCGCCCCCGGGCCATGGGCCACTCGGCCATAGGCTTTGGGTCTTCTTCTTCGTCCGCCCATGAGCCGTCCGCCCATTGGCCGCTTGCTCATAGGTCGCTCGCCCATAGGCCGCTCGCCCATTGGCCACTCGCCGAGTGGCCCGGGGGCGGGGGGGCCGTGGCCGGGAAGCCAAAAAGTGAGGTTAGATTCGGCTGAAAGTCCCTTTATCCATCTACTCCCGTACGTGATTTTTTCCTCTCTGAAAGTACATTGCTCTTTACTATAAATATTTTTCGAAATTTCATCGTTTTAATAATAAACAACTCACTGAAAATATTATAGGTAGGGAACCTACGAGAGAACTTTTATAACATCGTTATAATACAGTGTATAATGTTTAATGTATAGACTAACCGGTTAGGTTGTACTACAGAGCTACGGCCAAAGCTACACAGACTACTAGTTGACACTATTCGACACTAGGAATGCTATACGTAAGGTGTAATTTAAATGTTTTTAAAGCTATCACCAACGGAACGCGATGCTTATTTGTAATTTTACCGTTAGGCTCCCGAATGGCACAAAATGCTCGTTCCAAAAAATCTTCCCGATCAAGAACTGCGAATTAAAATCGCATGCAGAATGGATAAACCGCTGAACATGAAACACTGCGGCTATTTATACGCTTTGGGTAAAAGTGTTTGGAAAAAATGGAAGAAACGTTATTACGTGCTGGTACAAGTTTCCCAATATACTTTTGCCATGTGCAGTTATAAAGAAAAAAAATCTGAACCATCCGAAATGATGCAGTTAGATGGTTACACGGTGGATTATATCGAAGCTTCTAGTGGTAAATAAATTCATAGAAATGACGTCTATTGCTTTCTAATACCTGATTATTTTTAAGCAACGTTAATGGTTGGAACGGGTAAGCGTAAGTTGCCTCTCTTTTGAAAATCGGCATCGCAATTTAAACGTAAATATCATCAATTATTTCCAGACTTGGAAGGCGGTAGATACTTTTTTAATGCCGTTAAAGAAGGCGATAGCATTATATACGCGAGCGATGACGAAAACGAGTGTCATTTATGGGTGATGGCTATGTATAGGGCTACCGGACAGTCGCACAAACCTACACCACCTGTCACTTTGCAGGATAAAAATTCAACTATCTCCAAAATTCAAGGAGGTAAGACCATCGTGACCGGTTCGAAAAAGTATTCATCGATTTTAAAAGTTCTCGTTCTGGTCACTTAGATGCCGATAGAGCAAGAAAGCACGGGATGGAGGATTTCATATCGGCGGATCCTTGTCAATTCGACCACGCGTCCTTATTTAAACTACTTCAAAATCTTACCCTGGAATACAGACTAAACGATCCGTATTGCTCACTGGTAAGTGCCACTACTATTTTTTTCACATTTAAAAAAAAAGTACGTGTTATTAACAAAAAAGTACATCGAATCAATGAAAGTCAACATTAACATAAATTGGATGAAATCTAGGATAGCTGTACATTAAACTAATAAAAAGCGTTTACTTTTAGATCTACGTTCAGCGGTTATAGTACAAACAGAATGTACTTTTTTTTTTCTTAAATAATAGAAGTACAAAACTATTATTTTCAAAATACTGATTTTATCTTCGAATCTATATGATTTTGATCGTCCAATTCGTCTCGAAAATTAGTATAAGAGATTTTAAGTCACTCGAGCTTCCTTAATAAACATATGTCGAAACATAGGCACCCTAAAAGTTTCCTTCATTTCGTTTCGTTGAGATAACCATATCGACCGATAATGAATGATAATAATAATGTTCAAAATATTAATGGCCATGGCAATTTATTAATTTCACGTACAAAATATGTTTCTGTGTACGTTTTCAAAATAGTTGGGTTTACACTTTTTTATAGGGTTGGTTTAGTCCCGGTCAGGTGTTCGTGTTGGACGAATATTGCGCGAGATATGGAGTGAGAGGTTGCTACCGTCACCTGTGCTATTTGTCCGATTTGCTAGATAGAGCCGAGAAAAATATCATGATCGATCCAACGCTGATCCACTATAGTTTCGCTTTTTGCGCGAGTCACGTGCACGGGAACAGGTAAGCGGAATTCCACGACGGAAAAAATAATATATATTAATCGATAACTCTAGTAATAACTTTAGACCCGATGGCGTGGGCAGTGTCACGCACGAAGAGAAAGAGAAGTTTCAAGACGTCAAAGAACGACTGCGTGTGTTACTCGAGCACCAAATTACTAATTTCAGGTAACGGAAATGTAAATGTTGCTTACAGAGCGCTACACTGTCAACACTACTATACCTGTATGTTTACAATTTACACTGTGGAACTGCCGAAACGGTCACCCAGAATGGCTTTCAGCTTGAGTGAATTGGCCTTTTGTTTTGGTTTGTGTATGGTAAAAACGTATTATTTATTGTTTATCGTTTTCCGCAAAAATGGTGCCGTTCAACATGTCGTCAGCACTACGGACGGCTGTGCGCTACAACAAATTGCTAAAAAAAATTATAACTCATCTTGTGCCTTAACCCAATCGATCTGTATTTTGTACCGATTATTATGAATTACGAGGTGCGTTCAAAAAGTAAGGTGTGATTGGGCGGGCCACGTACGTATATATCTTCTATATGTTTTTTGTTATGTTGGTGCACACGTCCCCAACATATGTTCACAATTTCAGGCAGTTTGAACGTTTACTTTTTTTTTTGTGAGACAGAAGCGTTAGACGTGTTTTGTTTGCTCGGCGATTTTCTGCTGTCAGAAAGAATGGAACTTTGCATAAAATTTTGTGTAAAATACGGAATACAGTGCTCAAAATACTTCAAATGGGCCGAAAACGAACATCGTTCTAGAGCCCCAGCACGTCAATAACTGATGACAGTGTTGAATAAATGAAACAAATGGTGTTTAAAAATGGTCGACTCATTAGAAGTGTCTAAAGACGGCGACATCTCTCTTGGCTCGTTTTCGTAAGTTTTGAAGCAGCAAAATATGTTCCGAAACTGATTGACTGAACAAAATAACCGTCGAAGAAGCGTCGTTCAAGAGCTGTTACAGGACGTCAATGATGATTTGGATATAACTAGTGACGAATCATGGGTATAAGGTTATGACGCCGAAACAAAGACCGCCAAGACAGAAAAAAGCATGTCATGTTCGATCTTTTGCTTTAGCGCAGTACATCAAGAGTTCTTACCACAAGAACGTACGGTCAAAAGGAAGTTATGCGCCGTTTGAGAGAAGCATTTCTAAGAAAACTTACGGAATTGTGGGAAAACAATTCATGGATGTTGCATCACGATTATGCAGCTTCCCACCATCGTTGCTTGTGTCTAACTTTTTGGCCAAAAAGAAAACCACAATCATGCCTCAGCCACCATGTCCACCACCGCTACTTTTTCCTGTTCCCAAAACTGGAATGAGGTTTGGAATGATTGAGGAGATAAAGAACAAATCGCTGGAAGAACTCAAGGCTATACCAGAAAGTGCTTAGCAGTTTTATTAAATCTGGGGGGGGTTACTTTGAAGGGGACAAAGTAAATTTTGATAAATAAATACTTTTTGATAAAACTTAAAAGTTACCTCACTTTTTGAACACATCTCGTACAATAAATATGTTAAAATAAAATCAACAGTAAATTTTCGAACTTTGACGACTTTGTGCCCACCTTTCATTTTCCTGGAAAAAAATCAGATATAATTAGAAAGCCGGGTGTGCCTTTTAGATACTGTTTTCCGTTTGGTCGGCCCGAGGGTGCGTTGAAAGCCACCCTATCTTTATTAGAACGGGTATTGATGAAAGATATCGTAACTCCGGTGCCCCCTGAAGAAGTCAGGGGGATGATAAAAAAGTGCTTAGAGACAGCCGCGTTGGTTAACTACACTAGATTGTCATCTGAAGCAAAAATAGAAGGTAATTGCCATTTTGCAGCGGATTTCGGACGAATATTTCGTTTGGTTTGGTGTTACAGAGGACTTGCGTGGGGAGACGATGGTGTCTCCGAGTAAAAAACTGGATGACCTGATTCATCTTGCTGAACTTTGTGTGGATCTTCTGCAACAAAACGAAGAACATTATGCTGAAGTAAGTTAAACTTTCTTTCTACAGCCATATGATACGTACCCCAAAACTACCTCTTGTGTATATTTCTGCGTTTCTTTCGGCATACTTACTTCGAAATTCGATGACGATTATCCATTTGGTACCCATATTGGTACATATTAAAAGATTTTATTCATAGTAGTTTATGCATAGTTACTAATTTCATATGCATTGGTAAATATCTGTGTATAAAATCTTTTAGAATGCGAAGGCGGATAAGCACTGTTTATTACGTAGTAATTATTTCGTAAATTAATAATTTTGGTTAGTTTATCCCAACATTGTTTTCGATGTTATGAGAGTTTATTAAATTTGTCATTAGCTTTAATGATATCGTAGTGTTTTATTAATTTAAAGTGTAATTTTTAAATTAATTTCATTGATTTGATTTTGGAGTTTTTGTACAAAAAAAGATCCTCGTAATAATTTGCCCCATTAATAAACGACTGTATCTGTAACCTGTAATTACTGTTCTGTGTAATTCTGTATCTATATGTGTACGTAGCAACTGCGCAAGGCCGATCGGCCTCTGCGCAATCAAACGGCCACGGCTGCTCAGGCCCAGGGCCGAGTGGGGTCCTCGGGGCCCGCATCTGCTCCCCCGGGCACCCCTAGCCGGGACGCCAAGCAGCACCCAAACTCTGTGTCTCGCTATTGCATGCCTCAGCATGCCACTTACACCCCACCAGAACCCACGGCACGTACATTCTTCTTCTAACCATCTCAGTGGAGTGGCGATTGCGGTCCAAATACCAAATTGAACTCCAACTAAGAAAAACTCCTTTGAAAAAAAACCAGTAGCAAAAAAATTATACGCAAACTCCACACCACTGCGGTTTTTTCTTAGAGGGTTCCCCCCTTTCTTGCCACTTTCGCCCGACAAACAGGATTTTTCTCCCCTGACGAGTATAGCTTGCGGGCAGATGGGTCTGAAACTTGGGAAACTTGGAAAATTATTTAGAGAAACTTATTTTATTATTTTTCTCTAGAAAATGGAATTCTATTCGTCGCCTACTTTAAAAATCCTGTTTGTTTTCCATTCTCTGCATTTAAATTTAAACTTTATTAGAATACCAAAATTAATTGCCGTTTTAAATGTGGAGAAGAGCAAAACACTTTTCTATTGGCGCCTCTGTTTTATTTCGGAAGCGTAGAAAATTGTTTTCCATTAAAACAGGTGCCGACTGACACAGTTGTCACCCACTTTACTACATTTACAATAAAATATAATCATGCCTCCAGACCTTTCCGAAAGTTCAATAAATTTCGCGTATCCTAGAGTGATTTAAAACAAATAAAATTATGCATCCATCTCAAATCTGAAAAAAAATTATCTCGTACATGTATTATGTGTAGGTGGATTGGATCCCAACATACTTCCAGAGCTGAGAAATTTATTGGCCTTTGAATGCTAAATTGGCTAATTTAACATTGCTACTGCTTACTCTATGTCATTTGCGTTCCTGCCATAAACTATTTTATACCTAACTGTCAATCTGCGTTAATTTACGATTGCTTGTCGCTGTAGTGGATGTAATAGACTATTATTAACGAAATCAAGAAAATAAAACACTACATCGATGGATAAACGTAAAACTCCTTGGTGTCTGCATAATACTTCAGTCAGCGCCTGATAATGTCGCATGCTTATATATGGTAGCCCTTAGAAACATAAATTCACAGGCAAAAAAATAATCGATCCATCGATCGATTGTGATTAGTTAGTTTTGTTTTTTACGGTGAATTAATTCATCGACAATTTTGAAATATTAATACGGGATCGATTATTTTGAGAGTGGATGTAGCTTCATGGAAAATAATCGTAAGTCCATTACAAAATCTTCATATAAATATATACAGGCTTTCGCGTGGTTCAGTGACCTTCTGGTTGAACATGCGGAAATATTTTGGTCTTTGTTCGCCGTCGATATGGACAGAGTTCTTGGCGAGCAACCCCCCGATACGTGGGATTCGTTTCCATTATTTCAGATTCTAAACGATTATCTCAGGGCCGACGGTAAGAAGCCTATAGGGCTTGCGACCTCGCCATAATCGTTTCCAAATTTCTAGATAATTTAAAAAACGGAAGATTCCATCAACATTTGAGGGACACATTCGCTCCGTTGGTTGTGAGATACGTAGATCTTATGGAATCGTCTATTGCTCAGTCGATTCACAAAGGATTCGAGAAGGAACGTTGGGAAATTAAAGGGTTCGTCCTATTTACAAAAAAAACTAGTTGTTACGTGGTTCTTTTAGTAACGGATGTGCTACGTCGGAAGATCTATTCTGGAAACTAGATGCGTTGCAATCTTTTATACGCGATTTACATTGGCCGGATGCTGAATTCAGACAACATTTGGAACAGAGGCTTAAATTAATGGCGTGCGACATGATGGAATCGTGCATTCAAAGAACCGAATCGGCTTTCCATCAGTGGTTAAAAAAATCGGTTACTTTTATATCGACCGATTATATATTGCCGTCGGAAATGTGCGCCATGGTGAACGTCATTTTGGACGCCAAAAATCAGTCCTTCAAACTATGCGCGGTGGACGGCGTCGATTTGGTAAGGCAACGATATTCTTGGAATCATTCTCGCGATGCAGTGACGTTTTAGCATCAATACCACACGAAAATAGACGACCAAATCGATAAAACGTTGGCCAATATGAACCAAGGGATGTTAAGTAAGTTGATGTCTGTGTTAGAAGCTACTCTATCGAAATTGTCCAGATATGACGAGGGCAGTTTGATTGGTTCCATTTTAAGCTTCACGGTAAGGATATGCAACGCGCTATATGCAATGAGTGCGTTTTTTTCTTCTCGTACGCAGAACGTATCTGGGTCTGGAAAAGACGTTGGGCAAAGTTACGTCAACTTCCTAAGGAACAGTATGGAACAAATACGGGGGAAAGTGACTGACGAATTGTGGATTCTTAATTTTTTCGAACAGTGGTATACCAGTCAAATGAATATTATTTGCAACTGGTTATCTGAACGATTGGACCACACCCTACATCCCTACCAATGTACGTGCCTTGCTCATATTGTCAAGGTAAACCAGTTGCCTCCTCCCACAACTAGTCGTTAACACTTGCCTTATTTAAGAAAATATATTCTGATTTTGAACTTCACGGTGTTATGGAAGATAAACTAAATTCCAAAGCTTACCAAACGATAGCTCAGAGAATGCAAACCGAAGAAGCGACTTGCGCACTGACAATGGGGCAAACGGATGGGTACGTCGTCCTTTTTCCTAGCTAGGTCAAATGAGACCAAATGCTTTTTATAGGGGATTGGAAGGCGGCGACGATGAGACCGAAAGCAGGAGCAGGTCGCTCATCGAAAGTCTCGGCGGAGATGAGGGAAACCCCTTGACTAACGTAGGGAATATGGTTGCCGGGAGAGTAAGCAATATTCTCGGAAAGGGATTGGGTGGTATTGGTTCAAAATTGGGTGGAGGCTCGAGCTGGTTCTAAATTTTCCATTCGCGTTACGTTACAATAGCTTTATTTTTTAGTAATATTTTTTAGGTCGAAATATTTGTCTATCGCTTTAATGGCGAGGGATCTGATGTACCTATTGTAAATTTTAGGATAGGTTTTGGGGATTTTTGTAGGCTGTTTTCGAAAACGACGTGTTTTTCGCTTATCACATTGCGCCAATTCTATTATTATTATTATTAAGACAAATTCCGATTTCATTGCATATCAAATGGGTTTTAGTTGCACTGATTGGCAAAATATTTACCACGTCGTTCTGCTGGCCGACATTTCTAAGTAATATTTAATTTCATTCTAGCGCAATCTTCTTAAACGTATGCTGTATTATTTAATAAATAATCTGTATTTGATAAATTATATTCAGTATTAACAAGAACTTTGCCTTCTCAAGAAATTGAACGCGGCAATATACTGTACATGCCTTAAGGATCGCTAACTGCGCTAATCATCTTTATATTTATCAGTATATGTGCTATTTAACCACTTTTTAAACAATATTTAACATTTCAGTGCAACAATATGGCTTTAATTTTTATATTGTACATGTACGAAATGTATCGGCACGTCATTTAAAAGTATATTCGAAGTGGTGTTGTAGGCATTTACTTAAATTGCTTTGAATGCTGGCATCGGGTCAAACCATCATCAAATATTTAAATATTAAAGAAGTTACTATAAAGTCGTTTTTCGATTCAAACTACGATAATAAATTTACATGGCAACGATTAGTCACGAGATTTACTGCATGTTCTCTTTCAAGTTAAAATTTCAACAGAATATTCATGAGTACAAATTCGTTGTATATCATAGATAGTTAAAAGTTGATAAATAATTTTTGATAAGTGTTAGAAACGACTAGATTAAATTAAACTCTTCAATGTATTACCCGTTCTTCGATGATTAAATACATTTAACGTTGAATTTATTCGGGATCTATTCTATGAATGTTTGTAGACATAACTCTAAGCGTTTATTTTGAATTACGACTACTTAGAAATAACAGTTCAGATAGACCATTAAGTAAATTAACTTTATAGTAACTAATTCAACCACTAAACACGACTATGATTGTAGAATTTAACAATAATTATTGTATTTAATATTATTAAATGGAGACAAAATATAATTGGGCCTGCGATGTCAACAAAAAAAGCATTGCTACCCCCTTACTTTTTTTAAGCCTATATACAAACCAATATTTAATGGGCCAAATAATATTGTTATGTTTAAAGTAACTTGTATGGTGAATACATTGTTTTAAAATAGAAACTAGGTTTTTAATATATCTCAATAAACCGAACCCAATACCCAACACATCTATCCTGTTATCTGTTACTAACCAAAACTAACAGAAATGATCGAATTTTTCGAAAGCACCTCACTAAACTTGGCAACGATAGGTCCAACTAGGATTGAATGGGAACGATTTTTTAAAACTCAGCCTTCAAAACAAAAACGGTTGACTTACCTGAAAAATAATTGAACCAGGAAATTTATCAGACCATTACTTTTACAAAAGCGATTTTTTAGATGTTAAACAGGATATGCAAGTTATTTGCAAAAAATTAAAAATTGACTTCCTGGTGAAATTAACTATGCTCTTTAATTCTCTAAGAACTTTTTTAAGTTTTGGAATATTATACGGGCTGAGATATGTTGAAAAATACCATTGGTTACAATTTTGACTTGTTAAAGTAGGCCTCCATCAGACTTTTAGAGGTAGAGTTTTTAAAGATAGAAGCTTTCGGAGCTAGAGCGTTTAGAGCTGGAGAAGGAGCTTTGCGAAAGAGCGAAATTGATTTTTCCTGAAAGCCTATGAGTGAGTGGAGTAAAAATTTAAAAATTAAGTAAGTATAATGGTTTAAGTAGCTATGATAAGCAAATTGTTTTTAGAAAATTGATTCGTCTTAGTCACGTCTGCGATCCTAATTTTAATTCAAATTGCCACTTTTGCAAATTAAGCAAAAAAACTTATCCCATTAGATGAGACTGCCCTAAATTGATAGTATATTCTGGACCAATTGAACTGTATTTTTGCGCACACCGCAACTTCACTGGGCCAGCTTCAGAAAAGCTTATTAAGTTAAGTAATTGTGAAGAATCGCCGAAAACTTTTAATAATGTATGAGCCTGGATAATTTGTCTATTTCAAATACATCATCAAGTAATTACCCTTGTGTTTATACTCGAAATACGTGATACTTATAGTCGAATAATTCTAGAAATGGGGGAACACACGATTTTTTTTCCTCCCATTTGGTGCGTCTCCCAGTTTCTCAACATAAGCATTAGCTCCAAAAAAAAATCAAGCATCTGTAGAAAAGTGTGGATAGTTATTTATCTGGTATGTTTAACCACTATATTGGCGCCTCTGATGGATTTCTCCGTATCCTTAGGCTTTCTGGCTTGGGTTATATACCTCAGTTACATTATGTTATACGCCACAATAGTCTTCTCGGTTATTAACAATAATTTTCTGCAAATAGGTCGTTTAAGATGCGTCTTGTTAGATTTAAAAAAAAATTACGCAACCAAGCCAACAAACAGCTTTAATACATATCGCAAGCCTTTTTACTTTTATCTTGTGACTATTCACTTGGTAGCTGCAGTGCATTTCTGTATCATATTTCACAACATAGAGTGGGAATGGCCGTTCAGTTTCCAAAGCGTCAAGATGTTCAACAGCTTCTACGTTTTTGTCAACATTTTAACTACATTCTACGTTTGCTGTGTTCTTTTCGGAATAGCTAACTTATGTAAGGTGATTAACGACGACCTCAGCAACATCACCAATTTAAAAAAAACTTTAAGTGAATATAACACAGTGTTTCGAATGGTTTACAACATTAACGAAGCGTTTGGGTTCTATTTCGTCCTGTTGGCTGCGATTTTTGTCGTGTTTGTTATTAAACTGATTGCTTATGGGGTGAAATGCGGAAACAGCCCCATGAATGAGGGCGCTTCGAACTTATGTACCATATGGACTCTTGGTGGCATTACTGGCGTCGTTATGATATTGGTAAGTAGTACTTATATTTTTCGTGTCATTTAGCTGCTATTCCAATATGCTAAAAGCTGGAAATGCTCTTAATTTCGATCTTTAAAATAGAGTCGTCACTTAATCGATCGCTAATCTATCATATTTCAATTCAATTACATTATATTCGTATGATTAATCGTATATATCGATTTGCTTTACCAATAATTTCTGTAGGAACAACCAAAATATTTGAAAGTACACTATAATAACACAGCCATGTCCGAAGCTCCGAGCTACGTTGTATTCTATCCCCCTATTTGGTGCATGGCCAAATTATTCTTCGTAGGAATTGCCGAGGATGACAGATGGACGATTTTAAAGGGCGTTCGATTCCTTATTTTGTGTATAATTGTAAGTGTTTCATTGCCTTTCGTCAAGGTCTTAAATAAGAATTTACATTTCACTGCTTGGTGTCTATTAATTTCTCAGATATCTTTATACATTGCGTTGTGGTTTTCGGTAGTCAACTCCAATTTTATACACCGTATTGACTTGAAACAGACGATTGTTAAGATTCTGACGATACACAGAAAACTCTCAGGAAACACTACCGACAAATACAAGGGTGTTTATTACCTTTACATGGTAACTATTCAATTTGTTGCCGTTGCCAACTTTTCCGTCACTATTTTTATGACTTACCAGGGCCCAAACCTTCAAAGTCTAAGAATGCTCTCCTGGAGCATTGTTTGCGGAAACTTAGTATCCACTTTTCACGTGTGCTGTCTTCTTTTCGCCGTCTCCAACATTTTGGGGAAACTCTCCTCTTCAATTCAATCTCTATCTTCTTCCGCTGGTGTTCCCTACAGTCGTGATCTAATTTCCTGTATAAATTGTTACAACGAAATCTTCGACGTTATTGGAAAGATCAGTAAAACGTTTGGATATTATTTTGCTCTCATTGCTTTCAATTTAGTTTTGTTGATCATTAGATATATGTCGGCTGTGGTAAAATGCACCCCTCGGTATATGTTGTGGGATCTATGTACGTTGGTTATTTTAGAAAGTATTTCCGGATGTATTATGGCGTTGGTAAGTCGGAATTTAGATTTGTGCAAATGATTACCAGCGAAAACCATGGATTATCGTATATTCTTTGCAGTTGTGGGCCCATCTTCTTTCCTATGCTTGCAATAACATCAGCAAAGAGGTGCAAAATGGTTATCTAGTTCTCTATGAAGTGATGGTAAACCTGCCGCTAACTGATATAGAAAACGCTCAACAATCCACAGAAGATGACGTCTACCTTTTGGCCCACGTCATGCGATACCGCTCATCAAAAATTTCTGCAGCTGGATTGTTTGAAGTTGACTATTCACTGTTGTTCATGATTATCGGCTCTATCTTTTATTACCTGTATATTTTAATACAGTTTTATCAAAACAATATTTTGTAGACGTAGTTGCGGTTTAACTCGATGTGAAATTTGATGTATCGTAGCAAAAATAATATATAATGTATGCAGCCGACCTATGTTAAATTACCCGACCAATAATTATATGTTAAACATTTATTTTATTTATTTCGTATAGAATATATGGCGACCTCTATGGCATTCTGCGATAACGAAAGCGAAATATGTAAGAGCAGTAATCTAATCGGGGTAGACATCGACTTGGTCGTTTTTAGAGTCAGATATTTTTCACGTATAAACCCGCTACGCACATTCCACCAATTAAAATTTGTAAGATAGATATTACCATTGTAACTTCCTACGTCATGCCACAGCCATTAGCTTTTAAACTTGTTGAAATCATTAATTTTTGTGATAAAATTGAACTTTTCGGGAAGCTTAAATACTTCTAACTTCAAATTTTGATGTAATTAACCTTGTTATCGTTCAAACCTTCAAGGAAGGGGTTACTATTGTAAGCAAAATTCAAGAAAGTTAAAATTAAGTGACCAGGGAAGATTTGTGACCCACTCCATAATTTGTGCCAGGTCATTAAAAAATTAATTATTGAACCTTCACGTAAGCCCACAAGTCTACTGCTCTACTTTTTCCTTCCCGAATGAAAATAAAACACGAAGTCTAGTCGATGTGAAGGATAAAAATGAGAATGACGGCGCGGTAAGAATTATGAGGCCAAACATTCGAAGATATCCGCAATATCCACTCCTAATATACGATGTGGCAGTGTTGTTGTGGATTTATTGAGTTAAGGCCCTAGCGTTTGTAGTGTCAAGAGTGATTAGGATGTCTTGCTGCTGTTGATTGGACTTAACAAGATTAGTGGCGCGCTGCGGCTTACAAACAAGGGTCAGTCGCATAAAAGTTTGATTTGTTATTTTAAAGCAAACACTGGGTTACGCTTTGTAGAATTATTTTGATTTTACGACTGTCCGCGTTATTTGATTATCGTTTTTCGCTCGTCATAATTTCGTTATAGATGGAGCCATAATTTATTCAATTAACGATTTGTTTAATCCCTCGGGCTATGTAAGGGGACGTTTCGAACGCAACGAATTAAATTGCCGATATATAGGACATCGTAACCGGATTATCTAGTAAATAATGCGTAAATCGAAACCTGCAAAACAAAACTAGACGAAAATACGCAATTTTATATTTTGACACACTTCTCGATGTACAAAGAAAAAGTATATACATTTTTTTTAAGCACGATAAACCTAAACCTAGATAAATTTTTTTTTGTTTCAAAATATGTTAGAATTCGCGGAGGTACAAACGGAAACGTCGACTACAATGGACATACATCAGGGAACCTAGTATTTTCAGCTGACTAGAGTAACGGATCCGAATACGTATATCACAGAACTCATTAAATTAAAAAAAAAAAATACCGAGTATTCAAAAAGTTTGGAAGCAGCCTAATATCTCGAGAAAATAAATAAACATCCCAATAACACCAAACATGACCCGTCCCTCGAATATTTTAATCGTGAATTTATACACAACAGTTTAAAGAGACACAATATTGTGGGGTATATTGGAGGAAATGGTTAAAAAAACTAAAATAATGTGTCCAATATCAAGATCCTTTATAATTTGTTTGACTGAAAAAATTTGACGCTGAGGTCGACCAAAGTAACAAATAAAGTATTTTTATGATTTTTAAATTTAAATTTATTTAAATTTTCCACATATTTCTCAATTAAATTAAATATAACAGTAATTATAGGTAGGTATACCAGATACCTACCTCTAGTGAATAGATATTTATTTGATATGATGAAATTGTTGCTTATTTTTTTCCAGTATATTTTTTGCTTACAAAATATGTTCATATTTGTTCTTTCAAAAATTTATTCTTTTTGTGCTGGTCAACATTTATTATACAGCTGCAAAAAAATTATCTTTATTCTTAGTTTTATAAAGTTATACTATTTTATTATACAATGTTCGCGCTTTTTATAATAATAATAAAATCTTAAAACTTGTCTCCAGCTTTTTAACATTTAAAATCCGGCAACCCTACCAACAAGCCTAAATCTTTTTAACAAAGAGACCGCCATTTGAAATTTCAATTTCTGGCCCCATCCCCACCAGGCAGTCTCGAATTTAACTAGCTTCGAGTCTCCTAAATAAATTAATTATAATAAAACAAAGTATGTTTCTTAATACTGTAATACTTTTTATAAAACTTCTGCATTCCTCCTGCGTCGATTTTTGTTGAGTCGAACTAGCTAACGTTTCGCCAATCATCCTGTTGGCTCGCATTTTACTCTGTACCTGCTTTTATATTGTTATATGTAGAGAGTAAAACGCGAGCCAGTTTCAGTCAAGCTCTGAAGAAGCCAACAGGATGATTGGTGAAACGTTAGCTGGTTCGGCTCAACAAAAACCGCGGCAGGATGAATCCATAAGTTTTATAAAAAGTTGTATGTTTGTTCTTTACCACTTTTCTGTGCCAACTAACCAAAACCTACCTTTCTTGTAACGTAGAATCCGGAACTGTGAAAGAATTGCGAGTTGCCATTTAAGATTTTAAATTTGCCGCATTCCCACCACCAGTGGGCCATATTTGGTGTTATCGAAGATCTTTTTTGTAATTCACGAGATATTCCACTGTTTCCGCAAGCTTTTGCACACCCCGTATGTATCGGTAATTAAATAATTGACTGAGCGGAAAGAAGCAGCGAAACTAATTATGTTGTTTTTCTCTCGATGACAATCCTGACAATCCCAACGCTTCCGCGTGTTTCCTGGCCTTTAACCGCAAATCTGCTATGCTAGAATTTTTATGAGCTACCGCTAGAGCGGCGAATTCCAGAGGATACTGCGGGCATAGTATGCTCGCGGGATTGCTTCCAACCGCTACAGCAGCTGCGTACTGAAACAGAAACACGGAAACTAACCAATTCGGGTACTCTACTATATTTACCTGGTGGGCCGCTGAAATAAATGCCGAGTTGATCGCCGAAAAAGCTGTACCTTGCTGAGAAAACGATGCCGTAGATAATCGCTCGTAATTGGACAACGCGACTGAACCAGGAGCTAGTGTTAACCCCCTTAAAGCCGGTACGTTCATGTACGGTATTACTCGACACGGTTCCAGTGGTGTGCTCGAGGGCGGACTTTGGCTGTTCATTAATATACCTGAAAAACGTTTCGAGTTAATATAAAAAAAATTGCTGTTCGTCTGCTTTTGGGAAAAATTCGCAATAGGTACTCTTCTCCGGGACGTTAAGATAAAATAGAGCCCGTACCCAAACTGGACTGGCTATAAATTTGAGTTAACGCGTTAAATTATTTAGAAGAGGCGGCAATTTGTAACTGAAAATCATCTTTAAACCAAGACTAGAACCCTCATAACTCTGTGCCGGCCATGAATATGTCATGGTAACGCGCCCCTCCACAAATCTGCGGTACATAATCGGATTTATATACAGAAGCGGGCTAAAAAATACCGCCAAGACGAAAGTTTTCAATCAAATGAAATAATTCCCCTGGAGTGCAATTTTCCAACATTCAGTCATTCAAATGGCAAGCATAAGATGACTGGTCCGGCGGAGTTGGATCGCCCAAGGGAGCACTAAATTATACTTACCGGATCTCGCTTATATCAACGCAATCAGTGTCGTATCAGCAGCGATTTTGCCCTAGGCAATTATTTGACGATGGCCTAGCACTAGTTTTACGCATACTTTATTTTCAACTTGGTTCAACAACGGTTTCTATTACTTCTATTACTTCCTACCAAAAAAATAAATAAACACCAGGATTCTTCACAAACTCTTGCTTGCGAATCTAGTTTAAGCGAATATAAATTTGAAGTCCCATAATACGAGGGACGTGTGAATCGAGTATCGAGTATCAGATTTTTAGGAGACCCCAAGAAATCTTATATAGGAAATATACGAGCAAATATTTCTCTGCTTAGTTATTCTTTGCAGGAGAATAATTACGTTGTTTGCTCTACAGATTTTTTATCTATCACAGCGCCAAACCCTAAATAAATAATAATAAATAATAAAATAATAAATAAGAACTTTGTTAAACTAGGAAGACTTTGTATTAAATGATTTTTGTTTTTTCTTAGTGTAGTTTCATTTAGATGACATGTGGCGTTTTGATGCGTTATGATCGTTATCCTGCAGTGGTTTATAATGCCTGTTGTAGGGGTTATACATTAAACATTAAATACATTAAATGAATCAATTTATGCGAGACAATTTAATGATTCGAGCTAATTCTCTGTAAATAAAATATATCTGAAATCCGACTATTCCACATTTTTTATTTTGGTTAGTTTAGAATCAATCTCTCGGGTGCATGCAATTCAAGAACAAAATAGTTTTACAGGTATTTTTAAATAAATTTTTCTGAACAAATTTGGCGTTTTTATTTTCAAATAAAAAAAAAACCGTGCCAGCGAAATAGTTTCACAAGAAAAAACGAGTGTTTTCCTAGAATATCGTGGCTAAAACGGAACTATAAGGTTGTTCGGAAAGTCATTTCGTTTTTTCCCGTCAGAGGACTTAATTACGTTTTTTCGAAACCAACTTCACACTTAAGCCGCATAACCATTATATGTCTTGAGAGCTGATATTGCAAGGCTTGTGTGTGAAAAAGTTCTATTAATTCTACGCAGTAGCTTTTGGTTGGTGCCCTTTTAAATATGGAGAGCAATAAGCAGCATTTTCGTCATATTTTACTTTTTTACATCAGAAAAGGTAAAAATGCTGTCCAAGCGAGAAAAAAATTGACGGATGTGTATGGAGAAGGCGCGTTAAAAGTACGCCAGTGCCAGAACTGGTTTGCAAAATTTCGATCCGGCAATTTTGATGTCGAAGATGCACCACGGTCTGGAAGGCCGGTCGAAGCTGACAAAGATGCGATAAAGGCATTAGTTGATGCAAATCGGCGAATAACCACACGAGAGATCGGTGAGAGATTAAATTTGTCGAATTCGACTGTTTATGGCCATTTGAAAGGCATGGGCTTAACCTCGAAGCTCGATGTGTGGGTGCCCCAGGTCCTTACGGAGCGAAATTTGTGTCGTCGCGTTGACGTGTGTGATTCGCTCCTCAAACGTCAAGAAAATGATCCATTTTTGAAGCGGATTATTACTGGGGACGAAAATGGGTTGTATACAACAATGTTAAACGCATGAGGTCATGGAGCAGAAAAGATGAACCGGCTCAAAGCGTGTCAAAAGCCAACATTCACCAAAAAAAGGTGATGCTCTCCGTTTGGTGGGATGTCAAAGGAATCGTTTTTTTTGAGCTTTTGCCGGACAATACAACGATTAATTCAGAAGTGTATTGTCATCAACTGGACAAATTGAATGATTCACTTAAAGAGAAGAGGCCCGAATTAATCAACAGAAAGGGTGTAGTGTTCCACTAGGATAATGCGAGACCTCACACAAGTTTGGTCACTCGCCAAAAACTTTTACAGCTTGAATGGGACGTACTACAACATCCACCATATTCTCCAGATCTGGCGCCTTCCGACTACTATTTGTTCCGGTCCCTGCAAAATTTTTTGGATGGCAAAACCTTTACCTCAAATGAAGATGTCAAAAACCACCTGAACCAGTTTTTTGCCGGCAAGGACCAAAACTTTTATGAGAGGGGAATTATGTTACTGCCAGAAAGATGGCAAAAGGTGTTGGACCAGAATGGCCAATATATAATTTAATAAAATATTTATTCATTATACGAAAACTGTCTTTCATGTTCCCCAAAAAAAACGAAATGACTTTCCGAACAACCCAATAAAAGCATATGTAACTGCAGCTATTCCATCATTTTGCTAACACATTAAAGTTCTTTTTTTTAATGGCAATGTCGCTATGCTACTGCAGCAAAAAAACTTTGCTTTGCTTTAACTAGACAGTGTAATGTCATCAGTGAGCTTTTGGCACCTATCATCCCGCGCCACTGTTTAATTCTGAAAGCTCCTACCACCCTAGCGCGGCACAGGGTTCGACTTGCACTCGCAAATTACATTTGCAAATAGGGGTTAAGTTTACGTTTATTCGTTTCAAATATGAACTAAACATGTTACCTATTTATTCATGGCTTGGCGTATTTCTAGTCACCCTATATAAGGATTATTTAGGAGAGGATTTTAGTAATTGGCACAACGAAGAAGTTAAGATCTCGGAATTATTTTGAGTTCATTACGATTTTTCGCACCCTTAGTTTTGATTGCGTGTAGTTGGTTTATACCGCTATTTAATAAAAAAACTCACCCTTCTGCATTTGATTTTCGTGTTTCCGACATTTTGCTCTTCTGTTTTGAAACCATACCTGAAATATAATATTACATACGTCACACTGCTCCGTGCAGTTAACTGTAGTTAAAGATATAAATCTCAAAAAAGTGATTTATTACCTTAGAGGGCGAGAAGATAAGTGAATTGAAAACAGCAATCAAAGGGCCTTTAACGGGACTGAAATCTGTTTAAGGTAGCGGTAATAGCAACCAATTTATTAAGTGGTCTATATCAATCTTGTTTCCATGCTTTACGACCTGATGGTTTGCTTTTCTACACTATTTTTAGAAAATGAAAAGTGAAAACACCGAAGACTTTTAGCTAACCATAACTGGATTTTCAACCAGTGGTGAAAAGATTTATTCTTTATTTAGGCGTCAGTTATTTGTGATTTTTTTAAATCTCATCTCGTCTTGTCTTTACAAGGCGTGAATTTTGCATTTTCATAGTATTGCCAAAATTATTGAGGTTAATTTTGACATCCAGAGGCATAAAATAAAAAAGGGATTTCATAATTTCATTTCCATAGCAAAGCAAAGTATCAAAAAATGGTAAAAACGTTCCTATATGTTGAATTCCTGATTTGCCCAACATCGGATCAAAGAACTTTACATATTTACGCCTTGCATAACGAGAAAAGATGTGAAAACAAAAATTCGACCCCACTGACGTGTATACCAATAATTTTTTAACATCGAATTGCCTCGTTCAAACAAAGAAAGCAAAACGATACTTTTTATAAAACTTCTGGATTCCTTCTGCGTCTGCTAACTGTCAAGTCAAGCTCTGAAGAAGCCAACAGGATGATCGGCGAAACTTCATCAAGTTCGAGTCAACAAAAACCGACGCAGGAGGAATCCAGAAGTTTTATAAAAAGTATTACAGTAGTCTGTGGAATCATTAAACTAAAGCAAAAATTACTAGTATCAGTTGAAGCAGTAAATTTTTTTTAGCATGAAATTGTTGTAGAGGACGACAAGGTTATTCTTTTCTCTCACTGTGTTATTATTTTAAAATTAAGTATTTCGAAATTCCCAATAATAAAGAAAAGTCGAGTGTGTCGAATTAAGGCAAGTAAAATCCATTCGACAAACCGAAAACAAGTTGAAAAATAATCTACAAACGATTGAAACGCTCCATTATAGGTCAGAACCTTTCGAGAAAATTAGATTTAAATCGATCTGGTGTGATTCCAGTGATCCACAAATTTCTCTCCTTGTAAGATAGTGTCAATTTATTAAGTGGTTTGTTTCAAGGGGGTCTGGGAAGTGACCGCTCCGTTTCGTTCACTCGAATGGCTTTCGATATCAATCAATCTTAATGCCACCCTAATGCCGTTAATCCACCACTTAATCGATGCTACTCTCGCAATTCACATTCCCTTCACATCATACGTATTCATTAGGAAATTATCTGCTAATAGAGGCATTAGGACAAGCAAATCGACGAGAAAAAAGGCAGGACAATGGGAAAAACAAACGCGTACTTTGCTTTTACTGCAATGGGGTGTTTAGATTGATTTACATCTAACCTGGCATAGGATCCTAATAGGAATTAGAATCAAGTTAAAATGAAATTTGTCTGCTTTCACCGTCCAATTGCCATATAACACGAATTACCTGAACTCGCGCTTCGCTCAGACCCAACCTCTGACTGAGTTCTTCTCTCATAAATGCGTCAGGATAATGAGTCTCATCGAATAATCTTTCCAATTCGTTTAACTGTTCTAAAGTGAAGTTTGTTCTTGATCTACGTTGCTTGGTGGTTGATTTGGAGTTGTTCGTCGGTGGTGGGGTTTGTCTGGATAACGAAGGAGCGTCTTCTAAGGTTGAATCGTCTTTATCTCCGATCACACCTGGAAGGAAACATTACCGTACGCCCTATTTGGATTTCTACGAAACGTGGAGCCTGACCTTTCAGATTTATTTCCGGGTCCACTGATTTTCTTAATAATTTGATTAAGTCTACACGCATGGCATTGTGTCCCCGAGTTTCGTTTTTTTTTCCCAAATTAACAAAACTGTTTTAAAAGAACGCTGTTCCCAATTACTTAATTGAACATTTAAGCGTGAAGGGATTTAACGCCCCCGTCCCCCTTACCGAACTAAACGCTAAAGTGATTTAAAAAATTGCAACAGATTTCGAGCCCGTTCAGATAGACCTGCCGGCATATTTTGTGTCTTCATTAAACTAATAGAATTAAATTAATCCGAGGGCCCATTCGCTGCAGCTTTATTGCCCTCAAGAGGGGGAAGCATTAAATTCGGATGTTCTGTGCGTTAATTTCACTCAGGGGAGGGCTTTTCTTACACTTTCGTTCTGGAGCTAAAACTGACAGATACCCCTGGATTTTCAAAAGACTAAAAATCCCAGCACATTATTCATAACAATATTAATATTTAACATTAGGTTTTATCATTATTTATAGATACAGTTACGATTAAAATATTTAAAGCAGAATTTTTTGAAGTAATGAGTAGTCGGACTGCGAAATTTTGAAAATTATATATATATATATATATATATATATATATATATATATATATATATATATATATATATATATATATATATATATATATATATATATATATATATATATATATATATGATGACACTATACTCCGGGATATCATCCGTTCGCTCGTTGAACTCCGACTGGAATCCTGCATCCGACTGGAATCCTGCAAATCCTGCATCCGACTGGAATCCTGCAGACGTTTCGCCAAAATCTCACTTGGCATCTTCAATGCTCGCGCTCCGAAAACACTTCGAACACGGATGATATCCCGGAGTATAGTGTCATCACATTTTTCCATCCGTGAATCAATACGTGAGAATATATATATATATATATATATATATATATATATATATATATATATATATATATATATATATATATATATATATATATATATATATATATATATATATATATATATATATATATATATATATATATATATATATATATATATATATATATATATATATATATATATATATATATATATATATATATATATGTAAACATATATATAAAAATAATAACAATTTTTGTTTAATCTACGCCAAATTGGAAACAAGATGCCAAGACACTTTATCGTCAATAAAGTAATTAGTTAGAAAATAATACTGGCTTGCGGAAAAAAAATATATTTTAAAAAATTAATCTTACATACATCTGAATTTGATATTTTCAGAATTCGAATTCGATATCTCCAATTGCTCAAATAATAAAGTGATTCGACTTACAGGCACATCTTTTAAATTGTTCATGTATCTTATACAGAGCCAATGCTTGAATGAAGCAAAAAAAAAAAGAGAAAAACTTTATATAAACGTTGGCCTGGAAATTTTTAGTTTCAAAGATACGGGGTGTAAAATCCATTCGACAAATCGAAAAAGCAACTGATCTGTGGTCCTTTTCATAATTTTCTTTTGTGCTATTTTTTTAGAACTATGTTTATTGTGTATCAAAGGGTTCAAAGAAAAAATGTTCATAAAAATACGTTTTTCGAATTTTTATGATTCTTATTTTTCACTAGAAAACAAGTTAGGAGTCAAAAAAATTACTCTCTTACTGACTAAAAGTGAATAACAATATTTAGAAACAAGTCAGCGGCGTATATTTTTGTGGCAATACTATTAGTTGAGATACCTTCTGGGGCGACATTCGTCTTTGAAATTTTAATCGATTTATAGCAAAATTAGACCTTTATGAAAAATCGTATTTCTAGACTTCAACAAAGTTGATTTTATTAATATTTAAAAACCCACGTTGTGGAAACTACGCACTTTTTTATACGAACTTATTGTTGGATCACTAATCTCCACCCAAGTGTTGGCGCATGTTTCTTGAAACACCCTGCATAAAATGAATTGAATATTTAATAATATAAATATTTATCAAATGGTACTAGTATGTTTCAAATATTTACCCAAATTACCTCTCGTATCAGCCAGAGTCTAGTCAAAAAATTGCTCCCGGTCATTCTCATATTTCAAATGGTGGGAATAAATTTTACCAGTAGTTATGGAACCGTTATTTTTATAAAATAAATTTGACTCTATATACGAGGCCAGCTCCAAAATTTCCCGGCCTGAATACGAAAGAAACAAACTAGAGTAACAATTTTTTATTATTCTTCAATATAATCCCCCTTCACTTCAACACACTCTTTAAAAAAATATTCTTTTGGTTTGTCTGCAAAATGAGCTAAAACAGCCTCTTTTAACTCAACTTCGTCGTTAAACCGCCGTCCACGTAAGTCCTTTTTCAAATATCCTATGGCCATATCTGGACCATAGGGAGGATAATCTATCTGTTGGAACCCACACTCAAAAAGGGCAGCTTGTGCAACACCGGCAGTATGGTCAGATGGTCAGATTTCGACGTTTTACACGTATGCGGTCTTACAATGTATGTAATAATGTTGCGTAATATTTACCATTGATAGTGGTATTAGTTTCTTTAAAATCTATCAAAAGAATTCCTTCACAATTCCAAAAGATCGTGGCCATCACCTTTTTGTTGACTAGCAGACTCTGATTTTTTTTGGAAGTGCTTCACCCTTATGACGCCACTCAATTGATTCTTTATTCGATAGAGGGTCATAATAGAGAACCATAGTTTCATCTGCCGTCACAATAGTTTCTATCACAGGCTTCGGTTCCGACCCATAGAGTTCCAAAAAAGACCGCGCACACTCGACACGGCGGTGTTTTTGAATAGCTGAAAGGTTTTTAGGAACCCATCTTGCACTAACCTTATGCATACCTAAATGCCCATGCAAGATTCGAAGCTTAGTAATTTCTGAGATTTCCTTGACCTTTAAACGTCGATCACTCAATACCACCTCTTCCATGATCGCAACAATATCTTCCGTTATGACCTCGACCAGTTCTTGAGTCATCTTCAAGTGATTCCTGCCCCATTCGAAAACGTTTTGCCCATTCTTTCACTACAGAATACGAAAGAGAACTTTGGCCGTACAACCATCCAGCCTTTCTTTAATAATTTTAGGTGCTAACCCTTCTTTTGTCAAAAACTTTATGACGTTATTCGCGGCATTTTATCGGACACGCCTTGTTTAAAATTTGACAGCGGGGAAATTTTGGCGCTAACCTCGTAGGTAGAGCTAATCTGAAAAAACTGTTCTATGCAAGATGCAATAATTACTCGTATTTTTTCTGTAATATTTCGTTCCCTTTTGTTTTTGTTCTTTCGAGCCAAAGCTTTCGCCATTTTCAAAAATAAACGAAAAGAAAAAACGGTAAAAAAACGGAACTGTCACGTAGTAATTGGATTAAACCAAATTGCCAATAGACTTTTACCATTATAACCGAGTTTTTCGCATAAAAGACAGACAGTTTGTGTTTTTGTTTTATTTAGCAGAGAGTTCGTTTGGCATAATAAAAGCCCCGTGTTTGCATAGCGAAAACAAGACAGAAAACAAAGGAGGGCGAACCCCGCGCGGGGTGGAGCCTAACCTATCGGCGTCGTTTAAATTACTAAAATGGGGCGTTTTAGTTTTTATTCGATCATACCCCGGAAGGAAATCCAATTTGGATTTTGTTTTCGATTTTGTTAGAAAAACCTTTATTTTATTACGGGTAACAAATCATCGGGGAACGATTCGAGTTGTCTGAACAACAAGCATTCATTGTACGGCTGTTATTAGATTATCATTGATTTCTGTCACATTGATTTCCCCAGTCTCTTGCGAACTTGTAATCCTGTTGCCATTGCCAACTAATTTCGAATAAACCGAATGCGAAATAAAAATCTTCGTGAAGCCGTAGTTTACCTAATCCGCGATTATTTTATTAATAATATTTTAATAAGCACTTCATATAGACAAAAGACAAACTTTTTTGGTAAAACAGGTACTCTACCAAAAATTCAATTTTTTGTTGCTGTTACATTACCAACATTATAGTTTTCAAATAAAAGTGGTTTGCTAATATTTAATTTTTTTAGTCACATGATTGTGTCAGACACTTCAGTTTTAATGTAATAGTAAGTGATTTCAAGAAAAAGATTTACAGCATTATCTCATTTGCATCTATACATATTCAAATAACTCCTATAAAGTTTATTATAGGTAGAACACGCGATAAATCTTAAATAGTAGACCACTTCAAATTAAAAATTTATGTTTTTTTTTTAAACACAAAAATTATGATATTCAACACATTCAAATATTTCTTAATATTTATAATTATTTATTAGGAAATTATTTTCAATGCGGGATTAAACAAAGGGAGTACATCAATTACACGCAATTTAATATTCCATTCATGGCAAGTGTGATTTATAAAATAATTTATATATATTTGTATATATGATTTATAAAATAATTTTAATTGTAATAACCTGAAATTTTTACTATTTTACACATTAGATAATATTTTTGCTTAAGATGAAAGTTTTTTATCTTGATTTTGAAAATGGGTGCGTGAGAGTGTGGAAGTTTATCATCATTAAAAAACATAATAATAAAATACATTAAGTTTAAATATGTTGTTTTTTAAATTAATATTATTGGCGCAACTGAATTTACATCTTCGTTTTCCGAAGCAACGATAATATTTATTTATTATATTATATTTATATAATTATTATTTATTAATATATTTTATTACTTCTTATCCATATTTTTAAGACAAAATTTTAAGATAAATGGGACTCTCATCCTAAGTAAAAATATACAGAGTGTTTCATTTAAAAAAAGACGTTTCCTACTTATGCACACTTTAAAAGTTGTAAATAAACGATTTAATTTATAAAATTAAACTTCTTAGGCGCACTCGGTGCTAAGTGTGCAAACGTAAAAAACTTAATTCACCCTTCCATTGGAAGGTGGGATTAAGTCCATAAAAAAGGAGACTGTTCGCCATAGGCGGCAATTAACTAATTATTTCTTCATTTACATTACTTACGAAAGAAGGGAAACTTCTCCGGATGAAGGTACTTTAATTAGGAAGAAGCAAGCAATTAATTACCAGCCGAGACGTATTCTATAGCAACGATGCCACCTAATTTCATGAAAGGTCGCTTAGCAATCCAAACCGCTAATAAAACGTACTTTTAATTAAATTAACTATATGTTGCCCCGTTGTAATCCTCTAGTCCCCTTCGTTTATAGTCGAATAAAGTGATTTTTCTATTACTTAACATCTATTTAAAGGGGTTGTTGGTTAACAACTAAAACTCCTTAATCGACAGTCGACAAAGCTAAATTATGGACAAAAGCAGCTGTAGGGGGTGTTTGAAAACTTAACCTACAACAAATATCATTTTAACCTAAATTGTCGTATTCAAAAATGTTTGCTGAAGCAAACCCTTTTTTACTGTGAAGCTAGCAATGTTTTCAGCAGGAACGAACTTACATTATGGCGTTGCTATTATAAGTACCACCTTCTCAACTTCTTCTTTACTTCAACTTTGCGATTTATCATCACGATCCAAAACTATTTTGGATTAAAAAGCGCCATTGTTTGTCATATGCTAAATATTGTTTAACTCTAGAAAAATTAAGAGCGATCGGTGATTAAAAAAGAAGTTCAAAAAAGTTATATATCAAAAACATGAACATTTAAAATAACCCCTCTAACTTTTTTAGTTGTCATTTTAGAAAAAAAAAATACAAAATTTGTAGGATTTAAAGTATAGGATTCAATATTACATACATACAATCACTGACAAAAAACCATAGCATATCAAAGTTAAATTTTACGATAATTTCAAAAATGTAGTATATGTTATAGTAAAATAAATTCGTCACTCAGTTGGTCATTATTAATATCTTTCAAAAATGAATAAATGAAAATATTATTCAATTGTTAATAGCTAATTATATTACATAAAAAATATATAGTTAATACGAATATATAAACACTAATTTAATACTTTGAAATATTGTGATAAATGTGGAAAATAGCCTCCATTTTCTGAACACATAATTGACGCCCTTTTTTTTAAATCTTATTTAAAGCTTTAATTATCTAGTCTAGAAGCAAATCATTAATATTATTTATTTCATTCCTAATTAGTTCTGTAATGCCATCTAGGGTTGTGGAATTGACGGGTTAAATTTTTTTGGGTCAATTGACCGAAGTTACGTTTAAAATACCATGGAATTTATATTTATATTATATTTTATTCATATTTATTTATATTGTGTGTTACGTCGCCGTCGCATCGTTCTGGGAACCAAATGGAGTCCATGTTATTATTCCCTAAATTGCTTAGTATCGTATTCGGATATTCGTTGGAGAGGGTTTTAGGTAAATTTGACATCACAAACTTATAATAATTTATTATAAAATACATATTATTATTAAATAGTGATAGATAACGCTCCACAATTGTAAGACGTTATTTAAAACGTTTTTTGATTTGTCAATTAAGAAGAAGAATCTATATTACCTCCTCAAAAATGTATCTGGAAGAGACTATTAGCTGGCCATAATGTTGAGCCGTAGACGTCATTTCATCTTGGATATGTGTTATTTAAATAATCTGTCACTGGATCAACATTATGAGTACGGGCGTCATACTGTTGCCATATAATTTCTGCTAATTCATGGATTCTGATGTTTTTTAAAAGATTTTCAATATCTTGAATGTCATTTTGGATGGTATGCGCTTACCTTCCTTTTAATCGCGCCTGAGTATGATTGCATTTTAGCATTTTTCTTACATTACGACAATATTTCGAATTTTTCGGCAAGTGAAAACAATCTTTTATCGAATTTTGAACAATAATAATATTCTTTTTACAAAATTTCTGGATTCCCCCTGCGTCGGTTTTTTGCTGAGTTCACTTCTTTAGAACTTGACTGAAACTGACTGAAACCAGCAAGTTCGACTCAGCAAAAACCGACTCAGGAGGAATCCAAAAGTTTTATGGAGAGTATTACAGTAGCCCGTGGAAGTTTATTTGAAAAATTAATAATAATATTCAACATATGCCACACCTGTCATAGTTAAACAAAAGAAATGGCGTTGGCGTGACAATATGATGATGCATGGCCAACTAAGTAACGATTGTGTAGGAAGTAAAATAACCTTTCGTTTTATGAAAGGATATACAGAACTACGCTTTTTTGTCACATCTTGAATATAAATAAATTTGAAATGTTAAATCTATACCATAAACCCTACAACTATTAGATGTAAACTTTTTTTTTTCTAAAATGTAAAATAAAAAGGTTAGAAAGGATATAATTTATAATGGATTACCTCTGGACCTCGTAGCCAAAACCAAACTAGCCAAAACTAACGAAGACAAGGAAAACTTTTTGATGTGGAATATTTTGAAGTTCTCGATTTTAATGATAAAAAGTCAGGAGGGAAGATAAAAATCTTGCTCAAATATCATTCGGCTTTCCCAAAATCAACTCCGCATTTATACATCAGTTCCAATGCCGAATGTATAAATGAATTCGTATGCAACAAATACGTAGCATTTTGTTCTCGATGAAATTATAAAAGTACTGTCCAGGTAAATAATTAAGTACAAGGTGGTTGGTTACAGCTGAATGAGGCCGTAATGGGGTAATTTTCGATGTCGGAAAATAATGTCAACCAAGTGTGGAACTTTGTGGTCGCACATTGCCGATTTCTCTTGAAATTGGGGAGAAGAGAAATCGGCGGGGAGTGACACTTAAGATCCCACACATGCACATGCACTCAGGTCTGGGAAGACCTTTGCAAAGTATAGTTATAGCTTCATTTGACTAAAATAAAAGTTAAAAATTGTCTCCGATGTTCAAACATTTGTTATCAAAAATGGCAAACTAGTGTTAATTCAGTTTCCAAAAATTGCAGCCAATAATGGTTTTTAGCTCGGTGTGAGAAACTTGAAAATCCCACAATGTCCAATCTTTTTGCTTTTAAATTATGTATGTGTCTGACGCGATTAAATTTTAATTTAATATCAGGGTTGCCGAATACATTGAGGGAGTGTATGCCACTAGCTGCGAGAAAGCCCGCAAAGGGGACGTTGATAATTTGTAGCGGTTAAAACTACAGTTTAATTTTGCATTTATGATTTTACAGCATCGTTTAGGTCGTTAATTTCAGCACAGCTCGTAAAATAATTTTTATCGTTAATTTTAAACACATCGACAGTGATTTAGTTGAATCATTTGCCGTATTTAATATTCCTAGTTCACCGATGCGAACTACGTTGTAAAAAATTGCTCTTGCTTTTCATTCTTCAGATTTTTTATTATTATTTAAAATGTTATTTACTATTACTAAGGAATTTGAGTTAAATGCTTGCACTCCATTGTATAATGTATTTTTGTGTGTCTAATCTGTTGCATTTATTTGATTGAAATATCGGTGTATCAGATATTATTTCATAGTTGTATAGGTTGAAAGATGTCGTTCAACCATTGATGAGTTGGTAGGACAGTTCACTTCGGATTTAATGGGCAATAATTGCGTGCGTTAGCAGGTGCTTTTTGTTGGGATCGATATTATATGCACCATACTATAATGATTAATATACCTAATGAGTACAAGCATCTTGTATTTCTTCCTTTTCAGCGAGCGAGCGAGTATTAAAAGATGCATCTGAAATATGCTGATCGCTCACATGGGGCACCATTGCGCGTAGTGAATAAACAGATGATTTCCATACTTACAGATCTTACTATCACTGTCAATATCCTCACATGCATTATCCTGGACGTTGATTTCCCGTTTTTCACAATCAACAGTTTCCGAACAAGATTTCGAGTCTTCTAGATCTATTGGCGTGGTACCGGCACTACCGTTTTCCATAGAATCGTCATTATTTTTTATGAAACCTGCATTTAAACTTAAATCGATACATCCATGGGGGGGTGGCGATGGAGTCTTCCTTATATCGGATATCAACCAGTTCTTTGGTTTTCTGGCTTCGTCCTGGTATTCTTTTTCTGATTTAATCGAGGGCGATTCGGATGATGTGTTTTTAACTTCGAAAGTGAGATTTAAGCACTGATCACTCGTATTGTTGTTGTTTTCAAACGACTTCGATACAAATTGTGTTAATTTGTCCATGATTATCACGATAATCTAAAGGTATGTTGAAAGGATCATGTGAAACTGAATAACCATTTGAAAGTTGAGGCTGCGTTTCCATGGAAACTTCGGGGGTTGCGGTTTGTTCGAACTCCACCCTTAATTACCGCTAGCGCGCTATTCATTGGCCGCCGTAAAGGGGGTTGGGCTTTACCGCTATCACTTCACCCTGCTGAGGATTTTTCTCGTTATATTTATGGTAAGTCAATAGCTTAGTGTAAGTGGCTGACATTTTTTACCGCTTGTTTTTCAGACTTGCTATAATTATGTAGATTTATGATTATGATTGTGGCTCCCATAACTGTCAGACACATAATTTACATATATTTGTATTTTTCGCATTAAGTTTTCTATTAGAATATTCCTTCCAACTGAGGAATTGTTGTAATCAATTTGGCTTAAAATAGCAATTCCCTTTGTGTTTTAACAATTCGCAGTCAAATTTAGATATCCTTAAGTGAACCCCTAACTTTAAAAAAATCTCAATCATATACACGGTTTTCTGATTAAATCACTGAGTTGGTAATTGTTAAATTTCATGAGGTGTCCTCAAATTCATCAAACACTTGGGTCGAATCCTGCTACTACGCAATATCCATCCTATACATATGTATTACATAGCTGCAGGAGTTAATCTGTGTGCGACAAAGACGTACGCATTATGAACAAATGCAGTCAGACAAGGTAGGAGAAGATAAATCAGGACAATCAAATATCTGTGAACACAGAGGCAGTCAGTGACGCGAACGTTAGAAACCGCATTTATAATTCTTCTAAAAAACGAATTTTATGTGAAATAGACGAGTCGCGACAAGCTCATGGATTCCTTCCGTATAAGTAACGATTGTGCATTCAAACGTAGAGAGAGGATAAAGGTCACAGACCACCACCAATGATAAAGGACTAAAAGAAGACTACACGAGACGACAAAGTCGCCACCTATTGTGCCTTTTCGTTACCAATTGCGGTTACATATGACGTAACCTTCTGGGTTAATAGCAATTTTTCTTTTCAAAACATATTATTTATTTTTAGGTACCCATGATGGGTAATGTTTATATATTACCACTCCGGTTTCGTAAAAAAAATAGAGATCGCTAAAGAATTAATTTCCGCAAAGGCCAGTGGAAAAACAAAAAAAAACATTTAAAAATATACTTTATTATAACAAGATATACAATAGAAAATATTTTACTTTTATTTTAGGAGCCGTGTATTCGTATGTGAGATGGTGTGGATCACTAGAGACTGTTAGACATCTAAAATGGCTACAAAATCGAACAACATTTTATTAAACATGTTACAAAAACCTGAGTCCCTGATTATTTTAAGACATTCAAATGTAACTTAAGATACTATTCACCAAAACCATCTGGAAGCATTATAGTGCATGAATTTTATTTGTCGCAACAGCTCACAATGTTGCTTTATGATAATTTCAGATGTCAATTTGTTATAATCCTAGCAAAGGTCTAATGACCTCTGCTAGCATAAATCAGAAATATACCAGCAACAAAATGCTCTGCATTGATAAATATAATCTACTTGACCAGTACAAAAAATTAGATCCCTAAACAGAGATTCTTAGAACCTGAAAACTGATTTTTGGAAAATCTACTATCAATTTAATGGCTCCCTAGATATTCATGCAAATTAATGCTTTACATAACTTGAATGGAATATTTATTTAATAAAAATGAAACGTTGAACATAGTTGCAAAATTTTACTGGTGCCTTTGTCCATTTTCGGACCAATTTAAAACAATATTCTCCAAGTATCCTACTCTAAAGAAACAAACTTTAAATAAAATAAAAACGGTTACATGACCAAATTCTCCAAAAAAAAAAAACAAAAGATTTATTCTGCGGCACCTGCAAAATTTACAATTTTTTGTGGAAATCATAAATAGAAAAAATCTTATTGGAGTAAAAGTTGCAAACAAAAAAATGCAAATTTGCAACCCCAAAGCAAATTACGCGTTGCCTGGAAATCGGGGCTGGTTGTTTATTATTACTGGAATTTTTTGTCTTTCTGAGTAGGGCTTAAGTCCGGAACACCCAGCACATCCCAACCTGAAAGGGACCAGTCCTCTTGCATGCTAATCAACTCGTCGAGTATATCCTTGAAACCAAGTAATCGATTAGTTGCGTTAGTAGTCCCTTTCCCACAAACCATTCGATTCGGGTAACTCAAAATCTGGTTCGTTATCGCTGAAAAGCTGGATACAAAAAATCTTTTCTAAGAGCTAAACTGGGATCAATGATATAATTAAAATATAACGGTCATTTACGTCACAAATTTCCTATTAAAAGTTCTGAGAACTGAAAAACACGTTACCGACTATTATTTTCCGTCTCTCAAAACTTTTAATAGGACACCAAAGTGTATGTTAAAAAATTGTATTTAAGGCGACATATACACTATACCCTATAGTGGCAACAATTGTATTAGTCGCCCAGATAATTAAAATATTACTTACTCCCAGCAAACCATTAGCATCAACATCAACAGAAGAAGGGCATTTACTTACTCCTAGTAAAGCATTGGCATCGAACGATGTGCATCCGTTCAACATATCTTTCAATTGATCCAGCTCGCTCTGAGTGTTGTCCAAGTGGACGTCAAGGTCTTCCCTAAAACAATCATTAGTACCAAGCGTACTAACGGGTTAATTGGCTTTAACTATCTATATCCTTTACGTCAATGAGACAAACCATGCCTAACCGTTTCAGTTTTATTTGGCTGAAATTGTAGGACAATTGGTCACCTGAACCTGTCAAACACTTAAGAAAAATTAGTGTGAATTTGCCAAAATGAATATGTATCAATATTAATTTTGCAGCAAGTTTGCGGGATTTTTGAGAACAGTTAAAAATCGCAGATATAATTAAAATGTTCCAGGTTACACAATGATCCCGCAAAATTCCTGCTATTTGGTATTTTTTAAATATTAATCGAATTAAAATTAAGTAGTTCGCAGACAAGATCAAATAGAGCTATAGTTTCAGTCAAATAGGTAAATAAAACCCGCCATGAAACAAGAAGAAAATCAGAATCCACTACTAACCCAGACATCCCCTTACTGGGGTTAGTTTGATCATTGGTATTAGGTTCAGAAACGGTTTTCTTGCTTAATGACATTCCTGCGGCCGCACTGCTCGTCTGTGGTTGAGTCAAATTACTTATCAGCGCATCCCGACTATTTGGATTTAAAAATATTTGCTCGTTAGATGCAGCATTGTTCTGCAAAGTATTAATCAGATCCTCTTCATTGTCGCATACCAAATCGCTGGGCCCGTCGATATGCTGCGAACAATACAATCAATATAAAGAAAAAGTAATAACGTGATGACCAATCAGACCACAAATTCCGGTTTGTCCCAAATAAAGTCGTTATTTAAGGCATCCTGCGAAACCTCCGTGGTTCCCAAGTCAACATCCGTAGTTCCCAAGTCAATATTCGTGGTTCCCAAGTCTACAGTCGAAGCGGTCGAGTCATTTTGAAGTGGTTCTGGAACATTTCCCGATGTCGCCGGGCTGTCAATCTAAAAAAAAAAAAATTCTCAAAAACCCAAATCAAAGGTCAATCAAAAATTTTATTAGTACAAAATAATATATTTTTATAACAACATTTTAGATTAATTTTCGGTTAAGTTCTGTAAACTATTAAAAATATCCGAGAAAAAACTGAAACATCATGTAATACTCACCAATGGCACCTCAACATTTTCCGCTAATAAGTCTTCAGGGTTAATGTCAATGTCAGCGTCCAGTTCGTGTATCGTAGGGCCATTTTCGCCCGATGGCCTATCTTCGGATTTCTTGCCCTTCATTTTCTTAGTGGGACTTTCGTGCAACATCAACGGAATTCGCCTTTTTACCCCAACGCTCATTCTCTGCGCTGTGGGCTGAACTAACGTGACCAAGAATTGAATTAACTGCAAAACAAAACGGTCGCTTTTTGACGTAGTTGGTTGGGATATCGGACCAAAACCATCCTGGCCAGCATATTTTTTCCGCACGGTTTTTTTTTTTTTACTTTAGCACAGGAAAATTGGATTAAACAGCGGAATAAAACATGGAGCCGAAGAATGAAAGTGTGTCTCTCTCAAGCACTTTTTTTTTGACCGCCCCGGTATACCATCAAACGCAAGAAGAGACTCCGTGTTTTTTCCTGTTTCTCCCAAATGAATTTAAATTGTCAGCCAATTGCAAGTTGCGTACCGTGATGGTTCGACCGGACTTGGAAATAGAATGTGGATCCGTGTGTTGTTACATTAACATTCATTTAAAGTTAAGAATAAAAAGTTAAATATTTCCCTAGTGACTCCAGAACCCCACTAAACCATTAACATTAAAAAGTTAACCAATTTTTAATTTTTTGTTCATTTCTTACACAAAAGTTGTTTGGATTCACTTATACTTTGAAAATATTAGAATACACAGTGTGTAAATTGAAATGAAAAAGTCGTTAAAAGTTTTTTTTTTTTAATTGAAACGCCCTATTTGTACAAGTTTGGCATTTTTATATATGGCATTTTAAGAAACATATATCTTTATAAAAACCCTCGGTTTTTCATGAAATTTGCAAATAATAATTGCCTTTTTAATTTACTATTATTATTTTCTACATGATTTCGTTTTTTATAAGTTTCATATACTTGAGAAGGTTTTTTGTTGCATTAAAACATCCATTAAAATAAAAAACGACTAAGTTATGTGGATTTTGTTGTTTCATCGTCACCTTATTTTTACAAGCAATAACAACAACGGAATAAAATAGATAACTATAGAGACCTGCCAAATGCGGCTAATAAACTATACAACAAAATTATAGCGACAGGCTTCTAAATATCTCCGAAACGATTTTACTTCAAGACTGGTCTTGGTTTAAAACAAATAACACAGAAGCGTAGAGAAATTTAACATAGAGACACACTTGCAGTGATGTCAGATTTATCACTGTCAATAAAAAAATTGTTAACACCTTAGATGTTTACGAACATAGCAAACTTTAGAAGTGTATCACTCAAAGATTACTAGAATTATACGAAATCTGACAACATCGCTGTTAGCATTTTTTAAAAACCCCAAGTATTGAACTTTATCGTTCCGAATTTTACAGTTGTTACTAACCCGGTGTATGAATCCAAAAAACTTTATTATCTATTTTTTTTTCAATTTTTAACAGATTTTGAGAGAAGGAATTACCTCATATTAAACGAACCTCCCCATTGGCTGATGTAGTAAAATCTATTGTGGCTAACTATAATACGTGTCAAGAAAATTTTTGCGATAGTCTTACGATACGACATCCTGTTTACAAGTCCGGACGCGTTTTAAGGAGGAAAAACGATGAGCCAGTTTTGTAATTCAATTCGAGCAGTTTCTTTGCCAAATTTTACTTACAGGTCGGAAATATAACAATAGTTATCGAGTAAATATCGACGACTTTAAAAACGAATAAAAAATTCGGATCGGAAAGTACTATTTAGAAGGAATTGAATATCTCCAAGAAAACAGCCAGCACAATCGGAAAAACTGGTTCAGATATTTATACAAAGTACTTCCAATGTCGCAAGTTTCGAAAACCTTGGAGTGACGCAATGGGTGTGTCGCTCCAATAAAAAAAAGTCTCTGCCAATTTTGATTTTCATCTTACAGTTGCAAGAAGTTACCACGAAATGGTGAAAATCTAATAAAAAACAGAAATCGAATTAAATATTCGTTTTCAAAACTATCGATAAAAAGTCGATAATGTGAAAGCACTTTACGCAGGAAGTACATAAATAGTATTTTAAGATGCGCAACAGAAACTGCGAAGTTGCTCCATAAGAACTGGTGACTTCTTGAACCACAATAACCAAAGGATGAAAATTTTGAACAAAGCATGCAACATCCAGGTAAGATTCTAAGTGACACCTAAGATTTCCATCCTTTGCTCGCCTTGCATTTGACTTTCCCAAACAAAAATTAACAAATGCGAAGCCGAATTGAACATTGATACATCGGAAAATCTCCCAAAGATCGCTAAAGAAAATATCTTTGGGGACACAAAGGCAAGGGAAAAACACGTAATCGAACAACTACAATAGAAATCTAAACATCAAAATACGTCGGAAAGGAGAAAGCTCTTCATGCGGAAAACACCGAGGCGGTAAATAAATAGGTGAATTTGAAAAATTTGGCCCGACTTGTGATCCGCAAGCTACTACAAATTTTCAAATTCACTGGAACATAAATCTGTACATTTAGTTACAAGGTTCTTGAATTTAAATACCTGTAAATCCTCTGAAATCTTACAAACATTTAAATGAAGGGAGAAAACAATAATTAAGCATTTTGAAAATATATTGACAATCACACTTGACATAATTTTTACATAAATTCGTCAATTTTAAATTGTTAGCATGTAGAAATATTTATTCGATATATAAAAATGTCATACAAACTATCGCAATAAACACCAACAAACACACCAAAATTGTACGCATTTGTTTTTAGTCAAAAGGTTGCTAAAAGCAGACACAAGTCCACTAAGTATTCCTTATTTTGGAAATTCTGCAAATTCTGCAACCTGTCGGGGATGCAGAACAAACAAGATTTACAACTGTTACAAAATTACTACAGAAAGCCCGGTAGACAACGCAATTTCTACATGTATTTTTAACAGATAGAAATTGTTGTCAAAAATACATGAATTTTTAACTGGTAATTTTTTAACGGTAGGCACGATGCAATTTTTTCGAGCAAAATGGGTTGATTATTTTGATTTTAAACGTTGTTTTTTAAATTATGATACAATAATTCATACTTTTTAGTGTTTGTTAGTGTTAAATAGATAAACTTTATGATATTTGTTCTGACCATGCAATAACTTGTGGGTATAATGAAAATCAATAATCCCAATTCTAAAAAGAAAGCAATTATATTAATTTATGTATTAAATAAAACTAATTTCAGTGCAATTCTCTTACTTAGGTTACATATTGCAATACAGTTTTTTTTAACAAATTGTTTCTTGGCTTGTTTCATAACAGTTCTTAATTTTTCTGTTTGAGTTTTGCAATTTTTTAAACAAATTGGCAATGAGCCTTTTGTCTGTAGCAGGTTCTACAGTTGCTTCTTGAAAAAAATCCACTTGGATCTTTGGTGATTTTGCCTTTATTGCAGTTTTCATAGTGGTAAAAAATATAAGTTTATGAAAACAAACGCTTTGCGCCGATTTACACGCACAAATTGGAAAAAAATAGCTGGTAATTTTGCCGGACAAATTTTTGCAATTTACTAGTAGACACGTTGCAATATTTACATGATAAAATATATGCAGAAATAGATGTAGAAATTGCATCGTGTCTACCGGGGCCAATGATTGAAAATTTTAGGGTTCACTTCAACGCTTTCTATTAGACTTTGAAATATCAAACATATTTTTCAAATTTATTTGACCATTAAATAAATTATCATTAATAAAGAAGAGTCACACTCTAAATTAAGGAACATGAAGGAAAGAATGACGAAGCAATATTTTTGGGAAAATTTTGGCTTTTCTCTAGTTTCTGTTATATTCATATTTTTGACTGACATATGAGCATCAGCACAACACAGAGGTGCAAATTCAGTTAAACAATCACAAACTGACTTTTGCGCCAGCCTACATAAAATTAGCAAATTAAAAAAGAACTACGATTAAATGCGTTGCTTTGATTCGAAGAAAAACTTAATTTCAAAAATTTAATAAAAGTTCATCATCTACGACAGGTTGCAAATGGCCAAGTTTTCAGTTTACAGTTACAGTTCTTGCGTCCACCTTTAAGCGTGTCTGTTTCTGAGTGTTTGTGTGTGTAAATATATGCCCGTGATGTTCATAACAAAAATGAAAATCACATGCTTATATTGCAAGTCCCTGATATTTTCATCCTGCATTGTAAATGATGAAACTTGGCCATAGCAATATTTCAGGTTTCAAAAAAACATATAGACAAGTCGCCTATATATTAATTTGACTTACGCTGATTTACCATACCATGTTACTAAATTCAAAATGTAATATGCAATCAAAAACATGTAAACACAGGATAGACCTGTATGTATATAGCAGACAGATTAAATCAAAGCACTTTTGAAAAAGCAACATTTTAAACGTTTTAAACAATACGTTACAGTATATCGAAAAAAAAAATTAATACAATTATATAATCGTAATAGTAATAGCAACGAAACATTTACTTCCATTACTTTTAGGGTCCAAGCCTTAGGTAATTCAAATCGTAGTTCTTTTTGAAAATTTAAAGCTATCTTTCTAGGGCAACAAAATTCTAGGCAATACGGCATTAACACGTATGTAAATAAATATAACGTTTCTATTCGCAAACATTCCAAATCATTACCATATCCAAGTAATTTGAGGCATGTCATTTCAATGTCCTCAATTCGAGGAGCGGAATTATTCACGTCTAAATAAAAATTTTGGGAATTAGAAACACAAATAGTTTTTTTAGAATCTACTTCAAAAACCAAATGTTTTACATTGCGTTTGTATCCTTTTAAACACTCTGGGAAAATTTCAAGTATATCGATCAATATTTATTTGTGATTGAAATTGTTATTATCAAATACAATAAGATTGAGCAAATGAATATCAATGTCAGAAGAATCAGGATCAAGTAACATAGTTAGATCAGAATTTGAGTAACGGTCGGGGAGAAGTGAAAAATACAATATGAGTACAAAAATAGCGATTGATACAGGTAATGGCCAGAAAACACCTGAAATCGCAACTAATCGAGACGTCAGTAAAAATGAATGGAAACGAATTGCACCAGTGGGAATACAAATCAACAGCCAGGAACTAAGAAAAATTGCGAACTCCTATTTCTTGGTGACCAGGTTATCATTCAAAATAGTGAAGACAAGCTGCAAATATGAAGCCACAAAC